AAGTTATACAAGTGGGAAGGAAAAGCGAACTTTTAGGCTCTGTCTATCCCACAGCCTATGTCGGCATAACTTACGTCGCTCAGGTGTGCGACTAAACCACCCCTTGAGCGACATACGTTTCACCAACATGAGTGCCCATGTGCACAATGCTATGTTGGCGGGAGAGCTTCTGCCACTTGTGGAGGTGGGTTTTTTATGCTGACGGGAAAGCTCTCTCTCGTCAGTACATAGGGTGTCTTCACCACACGCGCGGCAGCAGCCCAGCTGTACATGGCCTTAGAAACCCGTTTTGCTTCACGTTCTTACAACTTGGTGGTTAAATGGCAAGATTTATTTTTATTTATTTACTTCTTTTTTTTTCTAAAAAAGCCTAACAACATTTTCCTTTCTGGGCCAAGACCTTATAATGCCAGAAGTTCCTGCTTTGAGTGGACTTTCATAACCCAGCGATAAAACTCCGGTAAGAAGAAGTTACCAGCAAAACCTGGGTGAGCCTAAAGAAATGCCTCTGCTCCACAAGTTGAGAGTTAGCCAAGATAAAGGCTATCACTGACCTTTACCATTTCTCCCCCAATCTGTCCTATACCGGTTTCAGATGCATCATTCATGCCTCCACATCATTAAGCTGCTTTGGTATCTCCTGTGACTTCATTTTCTCTTTCCTCCAGTGTTGTTCTAGCTGGTTACCATACATTGATCATCATTAGTCACAGGGAAAATGTTTTGGGAAAGGCGTAGGGCAGAAGGAAGGTTTGTAGGCCTTTTTGCCATCTCTATTTCAGATGATCTCAGTCAATTTCAAAATACTTTGCTCCTGTTCCATTCCCAGTGTTTTTAACCTTTTTTCTTCTTGTAGTCATAACATGTTCACAAGTTTTTGTTCACCTCTATAGGGTGACACTATGTAACATGAGCCACTTGTCAAGTTGGTGCTTACAGCTTCCTACATCTGCTTCAAAGCCCACAGCATTTATCAACAGAACTGCAGTCAAGCCAAACTCACCAAACCGAGGAACTGGAATTTCAAACACACCAACCTGCTCTCTACATTTTGTAGAGCGGGGCTTAGGGGACAGAGCAGAGAAGTGGGAGACGGGATTCCTGGCTACTAGTCCTCGTTCTGCCACTGATGCAGGGTGACCCTGGGTAAGTGACTTAGGCTTATATCTTTTCATAAGTGCCCACTAACATTGGGAGCCCCAAACTTGATACAACCAGGGTCTGACTTTCAGCTCTGTGGAGAGCCCACAGCTCCCCGTGAAGTCAATCAGAACTGCAACCTGTGAAGCATCAGGCCCTCGGTGTCTCAAGCTGGACTCCCAAAAATGGAGCCACCTAAAATGAGTGGACACTTTTGAAAACATAGGGCTTACGTGCCGCAGTTTCCCTGGCTTTAACTTAGGTATAATGACCCCAGCGTCACCCACCTAGGAACGAGTGTAGCGAGGGTTAAGGGTTTGGGGGGCATTGTCAACCTTGACACGGTGCCTTTAATACCCAGCAGTGAGCGTTTCCAACGTAGCTTTTGGCCACTGCTAACAGTATCCCTGAGCGAGTTCTAAACACAGGACAGGGACTGTCTTCTTTGTTCGGCGATTGTACAGGCATGATCGCAATGCAAATAATAACAAGAAAATAACAATGAACACCTCATCCACAGCTGATAACTACTGGCCTGGTTTCAGATCCTTCAGCCCAGCGCAGAAGTTGCATGAGGGAAAAAGAAACACATGCACCCCTGTCCTAGGAACACACCTGCTGTAATAGCCTTTGGGTCAATGGACCACCCGTTCCTTGTGAATTACTCAGTAATGGAATCAACTCATTAACGAGACAAAGGGGAGAGTGCCCCAGGCCAGATGATACAATAAGGAACAGGGCAGTTAAAAGCAGTCAACGTAGTTTCCAACAGACACATGCAAACTCTATTTCAGCATACAGCAGAGACCCCATAGATGGGACACTGTGGGGCTGGGGAGCTCACTGCCAGAAAGCCATTCTACATGGTACACACATCAGCCCTCCTCCTGGTGGACCTTAACCCTGCCCCTGGCAGAGCGGGGACGCTGGGCTGCTTGCCCTGCTGTGCCCCAGCTCTACGGGTGGATTTTCAGGGCAGGGACCCGCCAAGGGGGAATCTGGGTCTGAGCAAAAGGGCTGCATTTGAGGTGAGTGATCTGATTCTGCAACTTCAGTGAGTCAGGCAGACATGGTGTCACACCTGCACCGCGGCATTGATGCCTTCATGGGGGTGTCTGCCCCGGGCCCTGGGGTTTGGGATCAGCGTCGCTGCACATTATGGCTAGAATCTGTAAAAGAGCACCCCAAGTCTCCCCTCCCACACACCTGTTCTTCCCCCCACCCCGTCTCTGTCTCTCCCTTTGCCTATATCTCCTGGCTGACTCTCCCTTCTTGCCTGGAGAGGTTGATCCCCCGCCACAGCGGCTGGCAGCTCCGACTCCACTGATGGGCTCCCGTTTCCACCCTGCCTTCGGTGGGTCTGGCTGTGATTGCAGCTGGTGGAGCCTTGCCCGAGCTAGCGTTAATCCAGCCAGCTCGGGTACCAGCCCCGTGAAGCGGCAGCAGCCGGCCTTCAGAGCAGCCTGCACCAGACCCGGGGTGATGACTCAGGCGGCTAGTCCACACTGCCACAGCTTCACTGCTCCGTGACTGCCGTGTAGACATACCCTCTGATGGAGCAGCAGCCCCTATAGAGGCAGCTAGGCTGGCTCCCCCTCCTCAACTCCAGTTGCTTTTCAGGGCTCTGGCCTGGCCCCTGGCATCTACACTGATGAGGCAAGTCGCCTGAGGAAACTTTGCAGCAATATAAAAGAATCATAGAATATCAGGGTTGGAAGGGACCTCAGGAGGTCATCTAGTCAACCCCCTGCTCAAAGCAGGACCAATCCCCAACTAAATTATCCCAGCCAGGGCTTTGTCAAGCGGGGCCTTAAAAACCTCTAAGGAAGGAGATTCCACCACCTCCCTAGGTAACCCATTCCAGTGCTTCACCACCCTCGTAGTGAAAACGTTTTTCCTAATATCCAACCTAAACCTCCCCCACTGCAACTTGAGACCATTACTCCTTGTTCTGTCATCAGGTACCACTGAGAACAGTCTAGATCCATCCTCTTTGGAACCCCCTTTCAGGTAGTTGAAAGCAGCTATCAAATCCCCCCTCATGCTTCTCTTCTGCAGACTAAACAATCCCAGTTCCCTCAGGCTCTCCTCACAAGTCATGTGCTCCAGCCCTCTAATCATTTTTGTTGCCCTTCAGTGGACTCTTTCCAATTTTTCCACATCCTTCTTGTAGTGTCAACTTGGCATGAAATTTGTATAAAATCTGAAATGTGGGTGCTCCCTATAGCTCCCCCGTATCCAAATCTGTCAGTTCCCCCCAGATCCCACTTCCCCATCCATTAGTTGCCCTCCCCAGTCCTCCTCCTCCCTCCACGTCCCCCAGTTTCCCCTCCTGCCCGTCACACACGAGCTGGTCTCAGCAGTAGCAGCAATTTGGGCTGCCGCACCGCGGCAGAAGCTGGCCCTGCATCGCTAACTTTAGTATGCGGCGCTCAGGTGCCAGCTGTCATGCCAGAACACGAGCAGTGTGGGGAATTGATCCGTTTGTCTCGTTTTACAAGCAAACCTCTTAGTCTTCTAATGATGCAGAGCTGTAATTACAAATCCACAGAAAACACAAGGGGGGAGATTCTTTCCTCACATTTGTTTTTAGGGGGAGCGTCAGAGGGGGAATATTGTCTTTTACAACAAAGCCCAATCATTACAGCCAAAGGCTGTAACGCACAGCTGCACGGAGGGGAAAAAGTGGGATATACCAGGACGTGGCGTTTGCCTTAAAGCCGAATTCACTTCAAAACAGAGAGCTTTTGCTTTTCCAGTCTGTTGGTTAATTTGCAATCAAGGGAGTGTGCCACTGTCCCCAAAGTGCTATTAATAATTACTTTTATGGTGCATTTTTGGAAGTCCTCGCCATCCCGCTGAGCTGGGATCATTATTTACTCTAATCCTAACTGCTTTTTAATTACACAACACAGGTGCTCGGAAGCAGCCTCCGTGTAACAATGGCACGGAGGCGCCGGAACATATGGAAAGGCTCCTCCCGCTAGGTAAGGGATTTGCGCATTGGTTCAGCGTTGCTATAGATGAGTGCAGCTTGGAAATGGTTTAAGAATACTTGATGCCGGTGACAGCTGGGGGAAAGGCAATTTGGAACCGGGTCCTGCAAACCTTACTCACATGAGTAGACCCTAGCTAGCAGTCCTGTGCAAACATGCCGTCTTCTCAGCCACCGGAAAAAGGAAACGTGACAGGTTCCTACTAGGTGCAGGAGAGATGGAGGCAGCTGCCAGTGGCAAAATGGGCCCTTTCGAGCTGCAGCTGCTTGGAGCTGCCAACCTGAAAGGGCCAGCACCTGAAAGGCATGCTGGGAAAGACGCTCCTATTCTAGAGCAACCATGCACTAGGGCAGCGGATCCCAAACTGTGGGTCGTGACCCCAAATGGGATCGTGCCATCAGCAAATGGGGTGGTGGCAATCCCTCCTGTCCGGAGGATGCCATTTTGCGTCGCACAGCGTGACCTCGCACGTAGGGTGCGTGCGAGGTCACTAGACACGGAGGATGCCATTTTGCTTCGCACAGCATGACCTCGCATGTAGGGTGCATGTGAGGTCAATAGACACGGAGGATGCCATTTTGCTCTTCCGAACGGCATTCTCCATGCAGTCCGGGGTCCCCTGGAAATACTTCATCCAAATGGGGTTTTGCCGGCAAAAATTTGGGAACCAGAGAGATGGGGACCCGGACACAACCAGGGGAGCACCTGTGTCTTCAGCCACCACTGTCCCACAAGCCTCATTGATAAGGAGGTCAACAGGACTACTCACTAGAGTGAGGGTTGCAGGATTGGCACATGTCCGGATTTGGCAGAACAGCTAAATCTGACCGTGTAGCAGAAAGTCAAGCCACGCGTCCAGTTTATACAGTTTAATACATGTGAAACAAGATACATTTTTTCTGAGTAATGAATGCATAAATAACAGAAGATATACGTGAATGCATAAATATGAGGCGGCATGGAACGGAAAAAAAAAAAGAGAGAATTATTATTTTGCTGCTGCTGTCACCGTCGTGGCCGTCTGGCGCTCGATTTTGCCCCGCACCCTCGCACGGTGTTGGTGTGGTTTATTGTTTTCATTAAGCAGCAGCAGCTTTCCATTGGCAGAGCCGTCGCATGGAGAAAGGGGTTTGGGATGGAGAGTGGGGGAGGAAAGAAGATTAAAAAAGGAAAAATAAAAATACGAGTTGGGGGTGTTAATAAATGACTTTAATTCTGCTAGTGGCTTCTTGTTGATCCTATGCTGCTAGTGAAAAGAGGCCTTTCCACATGGATTGAGAGTGCTAGTGGGCTTGTGTGGCTCTGTGTGTGTGTGTGTGTGTGTGTGTGTGTGTAGGGAAAAGGAACACAAAGAGTGCAAATGATACAATTACTGATCTCACCTTCTTTTCAAAGGCATTACGCTATGAAGAAAACAAATCGTTAGCTTAAATGCTTACAAAGAACATCATCTAAGACGACTCTTAAAACCTTTACATACTGTATCAATAATTTACTTTGACTGCAGTAAACAAAATACATTTCTTAAATAATTTACTATTTATTTGTTTTCTTTTTTCCTTTATCTCGTTGTAAATTTCTTTTTTTTTTCCTTTTCTTTTTTAAACTCAAGAAGCTTTGCTTGTGCACATTAGTTCAGATTATTGCAACATTTAACCTGAATTCAGTAAAAGCAAAAAAAAAAAATAAAAATAAAAAAGGACAGTTTGTACAGACAAGAATGAATAACTTATTATTGCACTGGCTACAATTCAGTAGTGATTTGGTTATTTTTTTTCTTTAGAGCGGACATCCTCTAAAGTACCAAAGTAAAATAAATGGAAAGAAAGAGAGACTTCAAAAAAGCATCAGCTGTGAATAGAAGCCAGCAGGATGATTGTGGAGGGAGAAAAGAGGAAGGAGAGAAAAGAAGAATGAAAGCAAAGAAAGAAGAGAAACATTTGGGGGAAAAAAACCAGCCTTAATAATTACTTCCACATAAAACCCAAGAAAACACCTCCTGTTTGGGGAGTCGGACGTAATGCAAAAAACAGTATCGCTTCTCTATAAAAATATGTGCATTATGAAGAGAGAGTTTTTTGTGGGTATTTTTTTGTGGTTTTTTTGTAGCTTTTGTATCTCACAAATACATTATTTCTATTTATATCACTGCCGATAGACAGACAATGTCCAGCTCCCGTCTCCTGGGCACGTCTGCATACTGTGGCGTCTCCACACAATAAATGGTGCCAGTTTAAAAGTCGAGAACGGTTACAAAACAGAAAGAAAACAAACGAACACAGCCCGAACCCAAATCAATGTGATTGAGGCCACCTGGGGAAAAAAAAAAAGCAACTCCATCTTCCCTTTAGAAAAGAAACACGCTTGCATATCCCCCTCCCCCGCCCTACACCTTGTGGCGTTTCTGTATTACTTTTTGCAAACCCATCCCCCGACAGCGCTTAGGAGCGAGTGACTGGGGGGAAGAAGAATCAGCCACGAACATGTGGCTTTGCAGTCCCTTCCGCACAGGGGTGCTGTTTCAAAACCACATCGGTGTCAAGCCCTTGAGACTTCCCTCTCCCGCCCCTACAAAGCTATACTGGTTCGTCTATGTCTTCATCTGTTGCAACAGTCATAGGGACCAGTCCGTGCCGCCTTATGGGGCTCTTAGTAACGCCTAGAAGCTCTTTGTTTTTCTCAGGGTTGTTGCACTGAGTTTTTAAGTGATCCAGCTTTTTCAGTTCTAGCGCCGCGGCGTCTGGCCGGGAGTCCACAGACACCCCGCTGGAGGGCGCGCCCTGGCCGCTGTCCGAAAGGAGATCCGAGAGGCTGCTCGAGGAGCTGGGGTCGGACTGCTCGAAGGAGAAGTTTGGGATTGTCAGGTGTTCCCCTCGACACGTGGGCTGGACCCGCCGTTCTGCTTTAGAAGCCTGCTCCCCGGGCTGGTTGTCGGCCAGGTCCAAGGAGTCCCTGTACGCGGTGGATTCGCACGACGGTGTCCTTCTCCTCAGCATGCTGTTCTCAGAGGCTTTGGTACGTGAAGCCGCGCTGCTTTCATCCTCCATGGGAGGATCTATAGAAATGCAAGGTGGGCTCATCTTCTTCTTCCTCCGAGCCCCGTGGATATACTCCGACTCAGACTGAACGTGGACAGGAGACCTTTGCTTCCCTTCCGCAGGCTGTTCCAAGCTACCATCTCCATTGTCAATGGAAGGGCAGATCTCGATGGAGTGCCTTCTTTGGTCGTCTGCCCAGTTGGGCTTGTCCAGGAACCCTTTAGTATCAACACTGTAAAACTTCTTCAAGTCTCTCTCTCTGCCGTTGCTCCCGGCCAGGCTGGCTGTGCTGCAGTTCTTGAGGGGGACCAGAGATGAAGCCGGGGAGATGAAAGGAGAGACCGAGCGGGTCCTGATTTCCGGCTGCTCTTGCCAGTCTTTTACCGAGCTGTTTATGTGGCTGACTTCTTCGTCAGCCAGGTCTGAGGATTCAAACAGAGAGTTCTCGGGGCTGGCTGGGTTGCTGTTTTGACTGGAAGGCCTGCTCGGAATACTGTGCTGGCTGTAAGTGTGCTTGCGGGTACGAACGCTCGAGCGTCGATGGTGTGAGGATGACGTCGGGGAATGTGGGGGAGTGCCCGGCTGGGAGAGTGGGCTAGGATGGAGCAAAGCTGGACCTAAGCTGCTCTGGGACCGCTTCTTCGGCTGCAGGCTCTCGCTGGACTCAGCTTGCAGACTGTCCTTGGAATCTGTATTCTGCCCATCCAAGGAATCCGTTCTAATGGCCTCCTGCAATGCAAGCAGAGACAGATGGGACAAGAGCACAACGTTCTCTCAGGGGCGCTAACAAGACACGCTTTTAGCCGTGGACGTGGCATGTGACAGAATCAACCTATGCCCAGTGAGTTTCAGAGCTGGTAACATCACCGCAGCTGCCACACTGACTAATTATCATTAGTGGAGGTTCATTTGGTATAAGGTGGTAACAACTGTGCTAACAGACAGACCCATGGTGGGTAGGTCATATCTCAGGTGTATTCCAGCCTTGCCTGTATGTGCAGGCCTCTGATCTTCCCAGGCCTTCTGAACCTTCCTGTTTTATCTGTAAATCAGCATAAAGTCCTGTACCAATACATGCTATCAAGTCTCATGCTACAGGCACCAGAGTCAGCTGGGGGTCAGGAAGGAATTTCTCTTCAGAGGACAATATTGCACTATTTGGTACATTATGCAAGCTACACAGCTTGGGTTTGAAGCATCTGCGCTTGGCCACTGTCAGAGCTAAGGTACCAAACCAGATGGAACATCGGTCTCTGTTCTAATATGGGTATACTACTTCTTCACACAACACACAGTCAACCTGTGGAACTCGTTGCCAGGGGATGTTGTGAAGGCCAAAAGTATAACTGGGTTCAAAAAAGAATTAGATAAGTTCACGGAGGACAGGTCCATCAGTGGCTATAGCCAAGATGGTGAGGGATGCAACCCCATCCTCTGGGCATGCATCCGATGAAGTGGGCATTCACCCATGAAAGCTTATGCTCCAATACATTTGTTAGTCTTAAAGGTGCCACAGGACTCTCTGTTGCTTTTTACAGATCCAGACTAACACGGCTACCCCTCTGACACTTCCCATCCTCTGAGTGTCCCTAAACTTCCAACTGCCAGAAGCTGGGACTGGACAACAGGAGATGGTTCTCTCAACAATTGCCCTGTTCTGTTCATTTGCTCTGAAGCACCTGGCACTGGTCACTGTCGGAAGACAGGACACTGGGCCTGCTGGACCATTGGTCTGACCCAGTGTGGCCGTTCTCATGTTCTTATACAGAGTCAGTACTCTTTTATGGCGCCACCATTAGCAAACACTGAAAGGCAATGCCTCGAGTAAAACACCAGCAGCTTTGACTAATACAATCCCAATCATTGATAGAGCGAGCCCATTAGGCCTCTTGCATGCAAAACGGGAAACCAGCTGAATGCTTTATGTCACCCAAGTGTATTTAGCCATATGGCACCTGAATTAGAAACATTCTGCTCTAAATCAGTCACTGCAAGCTCTGTTCTCTGTTCAACTAGAGCGATCAGTGTGCATCTGAGGCCTGGAGGTGGCCCAACAAACAACCTCCGCAATTATTTTGACTAATGGGGGGTTAACAGAAGCTTTGCACAACATGGAAGTATGTTCCTCAAATGCCCATTCAACACAGCCTCTCCGACATGGCCGATCTGAAATTGGAATCTGTCTGTGTGTACTGAGTCTGACATACTCAGGGCACCGAGACGGGAAATTGATTTGAAAAATACAAAATCATAAAGGCATCCAAACTGATAGGAAATGTTGCCAGGATTATATTGTGCTCAAATAGCTACTCTGTCCCATCCTGGTCTGCTCGCAGCCTTTGGGAAACTCCATTTGTTCTGGTTTTACAACGCTGTCACTCCAAAGATGATGAAGGGGAGGGAGGAAAAAGAAAGAGGGAAAAAGTCTGATGGGAGAGGAGAGTTCATCGCCTCCTACCTGTCTACACAGCAGCCTGTTGAGACTGGGAGATCGCAACGTGGACTGTGGAGAAAGGATCTTCCATGCGTCACAGCTGTCGCGGTGAGACGATACAGCAGTCACCTGAAGCGACGCCCTTGGGACTCTCAGAGAGGAGCATGTTTCCATGGGCTGGGAACGGATGGAGGTGACAGACCCTACAGAAGGAGAGAGAACACTAGCCACGGCTGCCGGACAAGAGTTGTAACGTGTGGGTTTGTGAGAGCTTTCGCTGCAGAACCAGGCGCCAAGCATTTCAAAGCACACAGACATGGGGTAAGGAAACACAAGTTAATTCAGTGACAAGCCAAATCAAGCCACACAATATCTCACGGGCAGAGTCGGAGTAGAGCCTAGGGGTCCTGACTCCCATTCTGCTCTAACCACTAGACCACACTACTAGGGTAGTGCAACTGTAGAACGCATCTGGATAAACACGTCTCCTAGGTGGGCCTGTGAAAAGCTTGTGATTATTGTTTATTATTTGTATTACTGTTGCGTGTAGAAGCCCTAGTGACGGACCAGGACCCCAGTCTAAATGCATGTGGTTTTTCCAGTGATAACTGTCTCATATGTGGGCCTGCCCTCTATTGCATACTGCTCAGTTGATGTGTCCTAGGCCCTAAGCTGTTAGCAGAGACTCTTCGTCACTTCATGTGCTAGGGGCTTATTTGGGAGGGAGAGGGAGAGTGGGTTGAAACTCCATACTCGCAACCTCCGCATGTGGCTGTGGGTTGGATCTGAATAGGGAAGCGGCCTAGTTTCAGAATTTGGATCAGATGGAGACTAGCGGTTAGATCAGGATACTGTAAGTCAGGACACCTGGGCTCTATTCCTTGGGCTGCCAACGACTTGCTTACGGCCCCTTAACCATCTGTAAATTGGAGACACCACCACTTAAATGCCCAGAGGGGTGCTGCTGCGTGGCTTCATTCATGGTCCCATCCAGTGCCTCGCGAAGTCAATGAGAGTTTCGCCATTGACTTTAGACCCAATGTAAGAGAAGAGCTTTGAGATCCTCAGCTAACGGTTACATAAGCTCAAAACATGATCTATTGCTATGGTTACTGATTCAGGAGATCCTGCTCAGCTGACCCTGGTCACACTTAACCAATCTGCTACCATTGCCGGGGATTCAGGCATCGGTCCGTCCTGTTCTCTGCCTGTGACATACAATAGTTTAGTCTCCTGAGGGCTGTAATATTTTGGTCTAAATCAGTGGTTGGCTTGGTGATGTTTAGTGGCCTATGATATTACAGGAGGTCAAACTAAACCAGGAGTGGCCAACCAGTGGCTCTGGAGCCACATGCGGCTCTTCAGAAGTTAATATGTGGCTCCTTGTCTAGGCACCGACTCCAGGACTGGAGCTACAGGCGCCAACTTTCCAATGTGCCGTGGGGGGGGGGGGTGCTCATTGATCAACCCCTTGCTCTGCCACAGGCCCTGCCCCCACTCCACCCCTTCCCGCCCCCTCCCCTGAGCCTGCCATGCCCTTGCTCCTCCCCCTCGCCGCCAGAGCCTCCTGCACGCCACGAAACAGCTGATCAGGAGGTGCGGGGAGGGAGAGGGAGGCGCTGATCGGTGGGGCTGCCGGCGGGCAGGAGGCGCTGGGAGCAGGGGGGAATTGATGGGGGGCTGCTGACGTATTACTGTGGCTCTTTGGCAATGTACATTGGTAAATTCTGGCTCCTTCTCAGGCTCAGGTTGGCCACCCCTGAACTAGATGGTCTGACAGGTGGCCCCTTCTGGACTAAAACTCTATGACATCAACAGCACAGAGACTGCTGAGCCCTGGCTCAGTGGCCCTTGATGAATATGCAGATATTCTCTCTGTCTGCACCTACAAGCCAGTCCCTTTGAAAAGCGACCCCCTAATCTCAGGTATCAACCTCGAGTCATTAGTTTCCCACTCACAGTTCCTGCTTCCCCAGCTCATTCTGCAAAGCAACCTCCTCCTCTCAACTTCTGCTGCTTTACCAGAGTTTCCCCGTTTGTTTTAAGAATCGCCTGCTTTTTGGCAGCAGGATTTACTGTTCCTCATTAGCGCACGCGCCAGCGTCTGTTTTTACATCACTGCTCCACATACAAACACAGTATCCATCACACTAAGGGATCTCACCCAGAGGTCAGTGACCTTGGACCTGTGACAAGACCCATTTAGACAGTCTGCAGTTGCCTCTCGGCTAGCTGATTGCGTTGAGAAAAATAGGCTTTTTGGACACTTTTTTTTGTGGGGGGTTGGACCTTTTCCCAGAATATGCACGGAATATTTTAATGAATTTTATCCATCCTCAGAGGGACTGAAAGAACCAGGCACAGCTCTGTTTGCGCTCCTCAGCTCTGGAGTGTGGCAGGCAGTCCCATGACTGTCCTTCGCTCCTCCACAGCTCTGTGACTGCACAAAAGTCATGACCCGTAGCCCCTCTGGCTAGACCCCTCCTGGGATCCCACAAAACTTTGCCAATACCCTTCAATTTTGGTTTGCACTTGCTAATCTAGTCCTCTTGGATAGGGACCATAAATACCCACGCCGGATGCAGCGCTAACACCTTTCCAACGAGTTGGCTGACACCCTATTACCAATCTTTCCTTTCTTAGGCAAGCGTTATGGCGGGGCTTTTGAAGCTGGTGGGCAAACCAAATAAACACAGTGAACATTTTCATGACATTCCCCCTCCCCACCATCTTTTCTTGGACTAGCCTTCTGATGGAAATTTTCCCAACTCGCTCTCCTAGATGAGAGACCAAGAAAGCCCTAAATTGCGGTATTCTGGAGAGCTGAATAAAACCAAAATTGCTCAGCATCTGTGTGTTTTTCATTTGCTTTCTTAATGAGTCAGGGAGCCGTTTATGGGGCCGAAAGAACACACGATCTGGCCACTTCATGGCATTTTCCCCATCTAGTAACCAAATCACTAGAAGAAGAGCAGCTCTCGCTGATTCTGGTCTGATAACTGGCTTCCTAAGACGTCCAAAAAGCCCACAAAAATGCATGAAACAAACACTAGTCCCAGCGTACACCCCCAGTAAGCTGATCAGCACAGCATGAGGGGACACTGGTAGGATTCGGTCACTGGAGGAGGGAAAATAGTCCCTCTGTGAGGAGTAGGGATATTTCTTGTGATTTTCCGAGGAATCCAGCTGAAAAAGGTTACAAAATAGTGGACCAGATCCTCCCCTCATGCCAGTTTTTCACTGACACCAGTGGAATTCTTCCTCGTTCACATCAGCGTCAGAGATTGGCGAGTCAGCCTCAGTCAGTCGGCAGTGAAATCCAACAACCACTCACTTTGCTTAGCAAAGCTCTTGCACTTCCCTTTCCAGGGCAGGTGGAACAACCATAAATACTGAACAGAGAACATTGAGCTGTGTCCAGGGCTTTTTAACAAACAGAGAGTTACTTTACCCAGAGAAATCAGAACAGATCGGCTAGTCCTGGCCAGCCCCACCAGGTAATCCCACCACCCATCTGTCCATGTCGTTCTTGCATTAAAATACTGTTGCGTCAGAGGAAGCCAGTCTGGATCAGTTCTTGGGAGCCAAAAACAATAATTCAAGATGCACATGTTTTTAGGGAGATAGACGTTCTTTCTCACTCCCATTCCCCTTTTAAACCAACCTGCAGGACAGGAATAACTAGGGAGAAAATGGAATCTTAGGGCAAAAATATTTGGATGTGGTTGTCTCAATGTGTTGTCAGAACCCCCAAGGAGCTTCTGATTCCATAGAATCTACCACACAAACAACTTCTCATCACAGAGCTGTGCTATGCAGTCTCAGTTTTTCCTAGGGGGAAAAATGGTTTGTAGCCTTTATAACAAAAACCTTCCTAACGTGACCTAAATGTAATCTAGTAGAGTGACAGCTTCCGGAGTCTACAGACAGTCTGAAACTATAGCTCTGAGAAGTTGGAACTGCCCCATTGATCTCAATACTGTGCTGACTCTGAAAACTGATAATGGCAATACAAATGGCACCCTTGTTAACTATTTCACTGCTGATCATATAAGAAGAAACATACAGATAATATGCTATTCCATGACACACAACCTGCACCCTGCAACCTCTCTGGTGCCCATTGGTCCCCTATCTAGACATGCAAACTTCCAGTTTCCTCCAGATAACTTCAACAAGGCAGTTATGCATTTTAAATATAAAATCCTACAGCACCCTGAAAATTCTAGACGTAGCATAAAATAAAGTAAATTTAGTAGCAAATGACAATAAAAAGGATTTATTCTGTACTGACTGCATTATTCAGCTTCCTATCACACCACCACATGAACTGATTCTGGTTCCTTGCATAGTTTGCCTGACATCCTCCCAGTTCCTAGCAAATACAATATGAGGAGGATCAAAGAGCACAGAGAATGCATCCCCTCCCCGTGGTACCTCTTTGTGATTTGCAGGGATAGGTCTCCATCTCCACTTCATGGAGAGGGAACGGGGCCTTGGCCGGCATCACAGGGCGGAACATGTAGCTGTCGTTGGGCAAGGAGTGCATCCGGGACACTGAGATCTTGCGAACCGTTAGGAAGTTCTGAGGCTCTCTCTTTGCTCTCATGCAGGCAGCGCCTTCCTGCAAATTAGCAAGAGAAGGAAAACTGGGTTATTCTGCACCCTGGCAGTGAGGCTGCAGTGAGCTCCTTTTTGTTAGCCACCCTTGGAAACAGCACTGAGGCTTAAAACCCTAGGCAGACATGCCTCTCGCTTGATGTCTCTGGTGCCCCTGGGTAAAAGAAAGCTCCAGTGGGACGTGAAAGAGGCTCTACTCAGCACTGGCTCTATTTAGAAGTAAATCACTCAAAATGTGTCTGAAATATAACAGAACAACAATTAACAATCAGCCAGGAAGCCATCACCTTGACACGCATCTGACATCACAGGAAACACAGATCATCATGGGAACGCACGAGAAAGAGGCTTTCCAAGTGGACAAGTCCTAATCTTTTATTGTGCGGTTAATTTAATAATAACTCGGAAAGTGTCCTGCAATTCTTAGGAATTCCCACAGTGGTAAGCATTACCTACGTCTTAACCTACACCCCAGCTCCGGGTCTAGTCTGATGACAGATGGGTAAAATGGCCACTCCCACTCAGAGACACTCAAACCCATGCTGACAAGCAGTGACAAGTCTCTGGTCATTCATTTATCATGCATATAAATACACATAGACCACCTCCTATAGATACACTAAGACCTCAGTCCTATGCAATGTGTATCCTATAGCCCATGCTGAGTCCCAGTGACTCTGCTACACATTGCAGGATCACGGCTTGATATTGCAAATATGTATTTATATAACACCACTTGTACTCTGTCCTTATTTAGCAACTTTTATCCAAGCGACTTAAATTTCTTTACTTACCTAATTGTTATGCCACTCCCAGAGGGAAGAACTGAGACAAGTTTATGTGACTTGCCCAGGGTCATACAGTGAGTCAGTGTCGGAGGTGGGAGTTCTGACTCCCTGTTTTAACTACTAGACACGTTCCCTCACCATTTATTTAATTATTTAAAATACAACTAATGACATCACTTTTCCTTTAATGTCAGCCTCCAAGAGGTTGACTGAAAACATTTCCCCAGTTATGCATGTTAAATTAATTCATTTTACTTCCCAGCTGTAGGGTTTCCCTCAGTCATGCTAGAAAAGTCTGGGCTTAAGTCTCAAAGTTGAATTGTCCACATATCATTGAGGATCTGGTTAAATCTGTATTTTCCATATCCCCAGCTCATGAATTTTTCTCCTCTTAGGACAAATCCTTGAGACAACTTATTTCTGTGCTTTTACACTGTTGAACTTGGCTGAGAATACAGTGGATCAAGCAGCAATTATTTATGGGTAGCTGGCATCAGGAATACTGATTTGATCAACAGCGCTAGGGAACCCAGGCCTTCAGGTCTAATCTGTTAATGCATCAGGTTTGTGCCAATTCTGAGCAGAGCAGAGTCACTGTAGTTAATAATATAGCATGTGAACACCTGAGCTGCATGCATAAGGTCATTTACGAAGAAAAGTGCTGGCAAGAAAGGAGTCGTTTCCCTTTATCAATAGTTTTAAACAGTGGCTCATGAAGCCATTTTCTGAAGAATGGTCACAATATTGTCTATAGAAACTAAGCTCTTGTTTAAAATTCTTTAAAATGGACTGTTGGTTGCAAAGAACACTTCCTAACGGAAAAGACTGCAATAACGGAGGCCATTGGGCACTGGGCCAATGCGTGACCTTTTCAATGGGAACAGAAGAGATCCATTTATAAGGAAGTTTTAAATATGAACATATTAAATTTACACACCTGATACGTACTTTGGCCCAACCAGGGTGTAATGCCACTCTAAGAAATGGTGACATCCGATGACACTTGAACACAAGCTCCCTTTGTCTGCATATTTGTTTTTAAAGTGTCTAGTTAGCACTCCGCTGGGTCTGATCCAGTGCCCGCTGAAGTCAACCGGAGTCCCTCCATTGACTTCAGTGGGCTTTGGATCATGTCTTTGGTGCTGGATAAGGGCCAGATTGAGGGTGAAATCCAGGCCCCATTGAAGTTAACAGCACAACTCCCACCAACTTCAATAGGGTTAGGATTTCACCCCAAGAGCTTACGCTGCTATCTGAGCCGTGACTGCACCTCAGGTAGGCATACACACACGAGCTTCAATCCAGCGATCCCAGCTGGAAATGGAAGTGAAGATGGGGTGACCCAGACCGTGGCACTGACTAGCACTGTGAGTATGTACCCAGGATTCTGAGCAAGCTTGTACAGCCCATGCTTAAATCCATGCCACCGTGTCTTCAAGAGACAGGGCAGTGTCCAGGTGCGCTGTCCCAGGAAGAGTCTGCCTCTGTGTGTACGTGTGTGTGAAATAACTTCCTGGAGCTCTGAATGCTGTGTGTGTGTGCGTGTGTATGTGTGTGTGTGAGAGAGAGAGAGAGAGAGACACCTCCTGCTCCCTGCAGCCTGGCTTGTGGTCCGTGGTATTGGGAGACCCCAGTGCTGCTGCCTGATCCCCTGCACAGCCAGAGGAGACAAAGGTATAATCTAGCCTTAAATAAAGAACATTAATGTTAGTTGCACATGCAGTGGCAGGGACGGGTAGATCAAGTAGGGAATCTGTATGTAACCAGTGTGCCCCACCCATTCTTCCTACCCTTCACCGGCTCCCTGTCAGCTTAGCCTCTTCCCCAGTCCTAAACCGACTCCATGTTTTTTTAAACAAAAAGAAATACTCCACAAGCAAAGGAGACTGTGGCAGGAGATGTGGGCCTGGAGTTTGGAGCACGGTTCCTGCAAGCAAGCAATGGCAGAACTCCCCAGGGGGGCTCCTGGGAAGGCACATAAGTGGCTTTTGCTCTTTTTGTTCTCTCTTGCTTGTCCTGCTAAATAAATGTAGCTCACACTCAGAGCTAGTTCAGCCACTTCCCACACAGATAACTCCAGGCTCCACAGTGAGGAAGGGAGGAGGAAAGCAAGAGCGAAAAACAAATACTCCTGCCTGTACATGCCAGAACCGGGAGCCACTTAAAATTCTCAAACTCTCGCAGCTTAACAAGGTGACATTTTTTCTAACTCTCCTCCGAGCTAACAACCTGTCTGCCCTAGGACCGGCCAGGACCTTATCCGCACAGCAGCAGGAACCCTCGACCTTTTGTGGCACACATTCAACGTGCCAATTATTGCCTCTCTTTGCAACATGCCCTTGCCGCATTCTCCCTTTGATGCAAATCAAAGCTTAGCTTCCAGGTGGCCAAGGTTAAAGAAGACAAGGAAGCAGAAGCCCTGCAGAGAGCAAGAGATGCTTCTCAGAGTGGCTTCTCTTCATACAGATTGTTTCCTGCCTTACCCACTGAAAACTCACCCTCCAATTAATAACTCAGTCTTAGCCCAGAACTTGCTTGGAGATGCCACTGACCCACGGGATGCCCAGAGATTTCCAGAGATGTTTGCTGCTTGCCTTTTTTGTCACTCTAATTACAGACATCAGTAGAGCAATGAACGTAGAGACAGCATGGCCCTAATGAGGCCAGGATGGCTTGATTTTGGGAGGTCCATGCAAGTCTAGACTTGGGGTTTCCCATGCCGTGTGGTGTTATGTCTCAAAACATCGTCATGTTGCGAGGCTGCCACAACACAGTAATTGTCACACACGATCCTAAGGCACCTGTTACAAATGGTGTTTGGGTCCCTTTTCCACGGCCAGTCATTAACAATTCCAAATGACAAGAGCAAACCCAATAGCCTACTGATTTAAGATTGAGAGAAGAGAGAGTTCTGGCCATTTGGCTAAGAGCCCAGAATTTCACAGCCCTCAATCAGCTGAAAGTCTGGGCAAAGACTAACTCTCTTTGAAACAGGTATACACTTCAATGTGGTTCCAGTGGGAGGGAGTTCCAGAGGTGCAGGACCCACGAGAAAGATGTCCTGCAATCACCCTGGCATTAGCGACTCCCAGGATGCCAGAGGGTCAGAGACGGAGAGGCAGAGTTTAAGGTAATCTAGGCCAGCAATGATTAGTACACTGAACTTCAGTTAGGAGTCCATTGGCATCCAGAACAGAGTTGGCAGACAGCACCATCCCTGGTCGTGGGTGCTGAAGGGGTCTAGAGCTAGTCCTGCTTTGGGGTTAAGAAGAGCTCTCATCTGGTACAGGACCCAGCCTGAACACTGTTTTGAAAGACGATTAGAAGCAAGAAGGGTCAGTGTGGGAAAACACCTCCTCCCCTTATATCCCACAAAGGTCATTTCAGTTGCAAAACACAGGAATGGCTCTCAACAGCAAGAGACTCACTCCTGCCTTTCTTGTTGCACGACCTCACCCAGGGATGTCCACGGGTCACTTCCCCAAGACACACTGAAACGTGGCCATTTCCTATACTGTCAGTTACCCACTGAGAGCCCATCATAAGATGAGGTGCAACCAATCAATCATGGAGTAGTTGTGGAGTTTTTCTGTCATGTCCCTTTTCTATGCCAGGGCCCAGACTGTTACGTACCATGTGTTGCTTTGGTTGTGCCGTTCCACCTTCTCAGCACAGATTTAAAGAGTTCCCAGTAATTGCAAGAAAATCAATTTCGGCATTCAACCAAAAGCAGGAAATCGATAGAAATCTCTACCTGCTGCCCCCCTCCAGCTTAACCAAGAAAATATGCTCACGTGAGCCGCACAGTGGAAACTGCCTGCCAGGTCGAAAATCCACAGGTTACCAGCTGACCGACTTGAAAAATCAAAGCCAATTTTAACAGCTGTGGATGATCTATGTCGCGTCCATATCGAGGCAGTGGGGAGCAGCTTTTCCATGCGTGAGACACATAACAGTGTTACTTGCAGGACTCACTGTTTATTTAACAATCTATCCCCTCCCTCTGTCTAATAAGTGCAGGGCTCTCTTGGCTAAAAAGAGCATGTCACACGCAATCCATGCAGGCTCCTTGGCCTGCCCCAGCGGAATGATTTAGAACGTGCCCAGCTTCAGCAGATGCAAAGGCAGCATGGAAGACAGAGGACGGAAACAGGCTGTTCTAGCTGTGAAGCGACAGGAAGAGGACAACGCTAGGCAGACATGAATACACCGTCAGCCAGCTGCACGGCACTAAAGCATGATGGCACAACGCAGAAGCAATGGCCCGTCGTTCATTCACCTCTGACTCGCGGCCTGGGGTTTTGTGGGAAGGTGTCAGGACATGGTGGTGAGGAACAGAGCGGAAGGACGTGTTTTCCATCCGGGGAGTCTCTCTGCCCTCCAGCGGGTCTGAGTCTGGGATGGCTAAAGACACATTCTCACAGCTCAGTGCCTCCTTCGGGGACAAAATTAGGAAGATAAAAGGTATCAGTAGCGGGGCAAGGATGGGGTTCACACTTCAACCCTGCGCTCACACGCTCTCCCCACACCTGCCCCCTCCGTGTGAAACGGGAAGGAAGAGAAAAGGAAGGCAGAAAAGGGTCCAAATGGCAAGGAAGTCTGGAGTGTCTTATTACTTCTTGCAAAGGCATCTGTCCCATCACGCCCAGACACTGTAAAAGCCCCTTCCACTCCAGGTGTGAGAGTCTCCTGCCCCGTTACCCTAAGAACAGTATTTCCTTGAACTCCACACCCCCTTGCCCTGTAGCAGCTTGAGGAACTCTGACTGACCCCTCCCGATCCCTCCGGGGGCTCCCCAGATAATGCCCATTGGAGGAGCAGCTCCGCCAGCCTTGAGCAGGCACTGCCCCCTGGGCCTGGCCAACTCCACTAACTCTCACGGAAGGGCTGGGCTCTCACCACCCTTTCCACGTTTGGATAGCCCAGCACCAGGGGCATTTCTAGCAGGGAACAGCGGCTCGACTCCAAACTATACTGTGTCTGGGCTCTGCCTGGGGGTTGAGGAGGCTCCTTGGATCATTCCTTCCCTGTTGTACAGTGCAGCCAGAGTGGACTATAAACGTCTAATCCCATGTGCCACTAGCCTGGTTTCCGCGATATTGGGAATGGGACCATTGGCCCCAGGGGTTTCATATCTCCTAGGCGTGCATGCAACCCAGCCCAGGGCAAAGTTACTGAATGTCAGAGAACCTAGCTAAACGGGGAGCCAAATTCCACACCAGATGGACACGGTTATCCAGTTAGGGTTTCCGTAGGACTGTAATGGGTGGGGGTTAAAGCATTAGCTTGCAACTTCTTGACCTGGATTCAGACAGGCCTCTGGCCTATTCCTGTAGGTACCTGGAGCAGGAACTCCATAAGGCATCTGTTCCAACCCGAGGCACCTGAGATGTAGATCACGGTGGGAACTCACCCTGCTAATACCATGCTGTATGGAGGGTTTTCCAGCTGATGGAAGGGTGTTTTACCAATACACTGAACAACATGGCAAGTCTGCTTCGCTGGGACTGTACTACTGGCTAGTCCCAAATAACTGGATGGCCACCAGTTTATTCATGGAAATGTTTTTGAAGCCTGAAAGTTATACAAATTTTTGCACTGACAATTAGTCATGTGAAAACCCCTCCCAGGAAATATGTGATTGGTTATTTCCCAGTTGTCATTCTAAAAAGTTTCAGCTGTCCAATCACACAGCATGAGCAGGTGAGATGAGCAGTTTTGGGAACAACCCATGGGCTGCAATCTGTTCAGTGACTATTGACAGATCATGACCACGTTTATAAAAAGTGTGATCAGTCTGTGTTCAATGTGTGACCAGCACAGAGATCTCAAAGCCCAAGGAGAAATTCGACCAATTCTATTGTGCTTCATTTGCCGGTAGAAACTTTTATTAACTCTAGATTCAAAATGCTGTCTTCCCTGTTACTGTTTAGCCAAGTTACTTTTTATCTGTCTTGTTAGAGTCTGAGGAATAAAAAAAATACTATTTAGTCTAAAATCCCCTGTTGATTTTATGGTAGATTAATTTTTCATGATATGAGCAAAGCAAGCCTGTATTTTTCTCTTTTCAATATACTGTCTACCATGAGATGGGACAAATCTCACCCCCCTCCTACCTGAATTTTGATTGCCCTGTTTTTCTGGAGGGTAAATAGGAGTCAAAGAGTTCAAAGTGCCACTTGCTTGGGAGCTGGGGATGTCTCCACACTAACCAAGGAAGTCGGCATCAGCTGTTTGCTGTGGACTTTGAAAAGGCCCAGGACCAAATTCAGCCTGGCTTAAGCAGAGCACAAGTCCTGCTGAAGTCAGTGAGAGTTGTGAGAGCTTCGGTCAGAACTGGATTTGTGCCCTAATGTCAAGCACGGTGGTTTTCAAACTGGAGCACAACCCCCACTGAATTTCAAGTGATTCGGGCACCTCACTCCGATCGGCTCCTTTGTAAATCCTGCCAAGAGGCTGATGTGCTAAGACTAAAATCAACCTGAGCTGGATTTCTGCACCTGCATGGAAGAAATTCCTGCCATCCGCTTAGCCCACGAACTGGGATTGCTCAGGGCAAAGTCTCCTATGCTACCAACGGCCCTGCAGCTGCTGTTCACGATAAAATGACGTACAAAGAGGGGAGCGGTGCATATAAAATGCAACTTGGGCTGTTACTTCTCTGAGCCCAAATTCACCGGGGATGCTCCTCCATTGCTGATGCCTACTAGAAATGGATGTTAAAACTCCCCCTGGAATGCTGGGTGGTGAAAGGTCACATGCGGAGGTCAAAGAGCCAGATTCCCCTTCATCCTGGGGAGCCTCTCAACTTGTCGGAAGACTTGGAGATGGGGGTGGAAACTACTTCCAAGCCCTAAGTTCCTGGGGGACACGGGAAAAGCTGCCTTCCTTTTGAACTGCCTCGTGGCACGTCCCTTTAGCTTGATATAACTGGGGTTCTGACCAGGGCCACCCGGGGGGGGGCAAGTGGGGCAATTTGCCCCAGGCCCCCACGAGAGTTTTTCGGGGCCCCTGGAGCGGGGTCCTTCACTCGCTCCGGGGCCCCCAGAAAACTCTCGTGGGGCCCGGGGCCCCGGAGCTTCTTCCGCTCGAGGTCTTCAGCGGCAATTCGGCGGCGGGGGGGTCCTTCCGCCCCAGGACCCGCCGCCGAAGTGCCCTGAAGACCCGTGGCGGTGCGGGGGGGGGGCCTTCTGCCCCGGGACCCGCTGCTGAAGTGCCCTGAAGACCCGCGGCGGGGGGGTCCTTCCGCCCTGGGACCTGCCGCCGAAGCGCCAGGTCTTTGGCAGCAATTCGGCGGTGGGGGCCCCCCGCCGCCGAAGACCCCAGGTCCCCTGAATCCTCTGGGCGGCCCTGGTTCTGACAGACTCTGGAGCCTCTGCTGGTCAACAGATCCTGACCAGAAGCTCCCTACCCCACTCATTAGAAGACACCACAGGCCTTGAGTCAATCATTACCAGGGCTTGATGTTTCACTCGCATGGGGGACTCTGGCTTCATGGCCTCCTGGCTCCCGTAGGGGGCCCTGACGTCCGAGGCAGAGGTGCCACTTCCACCCCCGCTGTTGGCCGGGGTGCTCCCTCCTCTGGACATTTCTAGCTCTATCTCCGCGTCCATCTCCGCGTCCTCCTTGGCTTCCTTGTTGCTCTCCTCCAGGTGCTTCATCAGCACGGCCACCACCACGTTGACGAGGACAAACTGGGCGATGAGGACGAAGGTGACGAAGTAGACGGGGGAGATGATGGGCAGGTAACTCAGGCAGTGCTTGTCCTCCCTGGTGCATTCCCGCAGCGTGTCCTGAGATTCAGAGAGAGGGAGGGAGGGCTTTGAAGCAGACTGAGCTTTGCTAACAAGCATTAAACCACAGCCAGACTCCAAAGCCGGCCTGTTCAGAACTGTGCAGCTAATGGGAAGATTATTCCAGACACAGGCTGAGGAATCAGCACTCCATATGCAGGGTGGAGTTTTAGCTCCTTTTATTTTGTACTGACGTTAGAGACACACCAATATGCCCCAGACACCCAGCTGAGCTACTGCAGGAAACAGAATAGAGATGGGGTAAGTGGGTGCAGTGGGATCAGCTGTCTAAGGCCACAACCCCGCCACATGAGCTAAAGGGGGAGCTCTGGTATCTTTTAGAAGCACAGGGCCTGTTCCACACAATGGATTCCTCCCATAGAGGGCAGTGGTGTAAACTCACACTGGCCAGTTCCGTGGCGGAAAGGGGGCAGAGAACAGCTGGAGCGTGGAGAAGCTGGCAGCAGCGTGGCCAGAGAGCGCACGTACCTTCATGATCCCATTCCAGTTGTCCCCAGTCGACACCCTGAAGAGGGTGAGAAAGGCCATGCCGAAGTTGGTGAAGGTTGCGTGCCGGCTCAGACCTTCGCAGGGATTGTCTTCGCTGCAGTCTGCACAGAACAGAAGCAAATGCAACACAATGAAGACAGTTCTTAACAGGGCTGGTTCACAAACAGCTACAACTGACAATACAGCAGTGTGGCCAAGCAGCTACAGCACAGGCCTAAGATGCAGGAAACCTGGGTTCTAGTCTCAGCTCTGCCCTTGGCCTGCTGCCTGACCCTGGGAAAATTGCTTCCTTGCTTGGTGCCTCAGTTTCCCCATCAGTACAACGGGGATAAATGATACTGACCGTGCTTTGGGATCTACTCATTAAGGATTCTATATAAGAGCTAGGTATTATTATTATTTAGTGCTTTGCCAACTTCACTGTCAAGGTGGAGGGGAGGGAGAGAGCTTTGGAAGCATGGGTTAATAGCACTGCAGGGTGCGGGATTTACAAGAGGAAGATGAACCATATGGGTTTCATCTGTAGGGGCATCTCCCTTGCCAGACCCCTACCTTCACTAAGCTTCTTGGGACTTTACCCTACATGGAGTGTTTCTTTCTTTCATTCAATTCCATGATTTCATCTGGTACAGGATGTTTTTACAGTTTGTATCACCGGGACCCCCGCTGTGCTAGGTGCTGTACAAACAGGACACAAAGATGGCATCTGCCCCAAGGAGCTTACAATCTGCAGCCTTGGAATCGGAGCCTAGCTTTGTGGGTGCTCCTGGAGCTCAGAAGGGCACGTTCACGTGCCCCTAGATGTTGTCCGTAGCTCATAGTTGCAGCGCAAGCCGATCGTCGGGGACGGTTCTACCTTCCTCTGTTCTCAGAGGCAACAAGCTTTTTTGCAGCAGATTTTCTCCTCGCCCTAATCTCCCCCAAGCAATCGTCCTGGTTTGGAGATCCAACATTTCTGTCCAGGGCCGGCTCTGGCTTTTTTGCCGCCCCAGGCAAAAAAGTTTCCTGCCGCCCCCCCCCTCGGCAGGGGAGGGCGGCGAGCCCCGCCGGGGAGAGCGGAGCCCTGGCGGCCAGAGCGCCGGGGGGAGGGCGGCGAGCCCCATTGGGGCTCCGCTCTCCCCGGCGGCCAGAGGCAGTGCCGGGGGGAGGGCGGCGAGCCCGGCCGGGGCTCCGCTCTCCCCGGCGGCCAGAGGCAGCGCTGGGGGGAGGGCGGCGAGCCCAGTCGCGGCCCCGCTCTCGGGCCGGAGCGCCGCACCGCCCCCCTCCAGGTGCCGCCCCAAGCACCAGCTTGGTGGGCTGGTGCCTGGAGCCGGCACTGTTTCTGTCACACTCTAGTCAGTGTGGCCTTCACCTCAGTCTCTCCATCTCCACAAAGGGGGATAATGATACTGCCCCCTTGTGTAAGAAGCTATGAGCTCTACTGGTGAAACGTGCTATGGAAGAGCCGAGTCTATGACTAGGGCTAGGTCTACACTACGGGGGGGGGTCGACCTAAGATACGCAACTTCAACTATGTGAATAGCGTAGCTGAAGTTGCGTATTTTAGGTCGACTTACCTGGCTGTGAGGACGGCGGCGAGTCGACCGCTGCCGCGCCGCCGTCGACTCCGCTTCCGCCTCTTGCCGCGGTGGATTTCCGGAGTCGACGGCAGAGCCATCGGGGATCGATTTGATCGCGTCTTCACTAGACGCGGTAAGTCGATCCCCAATAGATCGATTGCTACCCGCCGATCCGGCGGGTAGTGAAGACGTGCCCCTCGGAGTAGTCCGGCTTGCTGGGCACGTGTGTAAAATCTCCGAAGACCTCCTGCAGATTAAGTAACTTGCCTTAGGTACAAACCTGATTGCATTTTCGCTCCTCCTGCCCCCCACTTAACAGGCAGTGCTAACTATATACCACGCTGAAAATGAAGTGGAAAGACATCAGAACGTGTAAGCTAACTCTCCCCAAATGGCTACGAACACTACTTTCCCTCTTTGCTGCTCTGCACTGTCTGCTTGACTATTACTCTCTCCATTGTGTTCATTATCTTGTTTTATTTTTTTTTAAACAGAGCACATTTCCCATAAGGGATATTTTACCGGAATAACATGAGCAATTTTGATATTTTTTTCCCTGAGATTTAATATCCTAATGAATGTAAATTGCACACACCAAACATCCTCTTGTACATAAAACACAGGCTCATTAAGTTTTCATTAGGACAGGCAGCAATCCTTCTTGCAAAAGCCTTTCATTATTAGTCATTTATTTCTGAAGTGCATTTAAAAAAAAAAAAAAAGCCCGGCCACCAACCTCACTGAGGAGGGAGCAGGGCTTTTTTGTGGCAGACATGGCCCAGCCGTGCTTGAGAAAAGGAAAATCAAACTGTTCCCAATAAAAGTCAGGAAGTGGAAGTGGTCCGCTGGCTGGCTGGGTGCTCGTCACAGCTGGGATCAAGTCTCAATCTCAAACCACACACAGCAATTGTTTATTGCACAGGGCTGGCATGGAGTGTGCATAGAAACACAGCATGGATTTAGAACTGCAGAGAGGGCTGCATAGTCTTTAAGGTATTCAGGTATCTTCTGTCTAAGGATAGGTGAATAAATACTGCCACTACCAGAGATACCTGGCACAGGAATCACCACATTTTCAATGATGCTCTCTGGAGAGTTGCTGCACAAGCATAGATGTTGTAACGCACTGATCTGCGACCTAGGAGATCTGGGTTCTATTAGTGACTCTGCCACATGCGGACTGTGTGACGAGTCACTTACCTGCTCTGGGCCTCAGTTTTTCCAGCTGTAAAATGGGAATATACAAATATTCCTTTTGTCTGTCTTGTCTATTTAAATTGGAAACCCTTCCAGGCAGTGACCCTCTTCACTTTGTATGTGTCCGGCATCTAGCACAAGGGGGCCTGGATCTAGGTGGATCCCTAGCTGCTACCGTAATACCATTTTTTAAAAAAACAACCGTCATTTAGACATATCAGTAGAGAGCAATGATGCGAATGATCACATAACGCCCCAAGAGGCATTGTCTAATAACTAAAACATGGGACTTGGAGTCAGAAGACTTAGGGATCCTTTCACAGCTGTGCCAGTGACTCGTCGGGTGACCTTGGGAAAGTCACTTCCCTTCTCTGTGCCTCAGTTTCCCCCTCTGTAAAATGGAGCTACTAACACTTCCCGATCTCCCAGTCAGGGTTATGGGGAATACATATATGTAAAGTACATTGAAATCCATACACTGAAAAGCATCACAGCAGTGCAAAATAGGTTGCTTTTGGAGTAACAGCATCATTAACTGCATAGCTTTCTGAAGCTCCTGCTGTTTCATATAAATACCACAGTCGGGCCCTAAGCACGGTTGTAACCCTATCAAGCCCATCTGAAAATGATCAGCCCCTCCTCTCCATCCCTACGGGCTGAGGAAGCAGCTGCTCTGGACGTTTCTGAAGCTTTGTTAGAATCATAACATGCAAAAGTGAGTCCTAAATCAAAGCTTTAAAGGGTTGCCAAGCAATGTGTGTGGGACTCCCAATCAGTGACTGTGATACCGAGGGTACGCTCGGGATGTGACTCTTACATTTTGCCCCCTGGCCCTATCACACTTGAAAGAGGACAGTGCTGTGGAGCTGGCTAGGAGAGAGTCTCTCTGTTGCGTTCCTGGACTTGCTGAATGGAAGGCTGGTGATGCCCTTAGGTGGGTTGTAACCTGTGAGGATTGAACACGGGGCCTAAAAGCCTGCACACTTCTAAAGGCATGGTCTTTCCCTCCTGAGCTAAAAGATGCAGCGCTGTTAGCATGAAGCAATCACCTGACTCATAGGGTATGTCGACATTGCAGCTGGGAGCATGTGTCCCAACCCAGGCAGACAGACAGGTGTTAGCTCTGCTCACGCTAGCATGCTAAATAGCGGGGATATCATAGAATCATAGAATCTCAGGGTTGGAAGGGACCTCAGAAGGTCATCTAGTCCCACCCCCTGCTCAAAGCAGGACCAATCCCGAACTAAATCATCCCAGCCAGGGCTTTGTCAAGCCGGGCCTTAAAAACCTCTAAGGAAGGAGATTCCACCATCTCCCTAGGTAACCCATTCCAGTGCTTCACCACCCTCCCAGTGAAATAGTTTTTCCTAATAGCCAACCTAGACCTCCCCTACTGCAACTTGAGACCATTGCTTCTTGTTCTGTCAGCAACTCATGGGTAGCAGCCTGACTTACCTGCCCGAGTATAAACCCTGGACCCCATGATATATACTTGGGTGGCTCGCGTACGCTGTCCCCATGGCTACTTTGCTATTTTTAGCAAGCTAGCATGCGGGTGTGTCTGTCTACCCGAGCTGGGAAACATGCTTCCAGCTGCAGCGTTCACGGACCCACAGACCTCTACGTGGTCCATCCAGTAGAGGGAGCCAGAGAGCCACATTGTGAAAGTACCTTATGTCTCCACTGCAGTCAGAAGGGTGACTGGAGCATGTGCGGACACGCCCGAGCTAGCTCAGCTCTAACAATAGCAACAAAGCCACAACAGCGTGAGCTAGCTTCTCGAGGGGCCCGGGCGGTGTTGTATAACCCGTGCTGCCACGGCTTCACGACTCTTGTGATTTGAGCTAGTTCAATCCAAACTAGGCGCTGCAGTTACACCTCTGATCGCAGTGTCTCCTGAACTTGGTCAACGAGATAGGGTGACCAGACAGCAAGTGTGAAAAATCAGGACAGAGGGTGGGGGGTAATAGGAGCCTATATAAGAAAAAGCCCCAAATATCGGGACTGTCCCTATAAAATAGGGACATCTGGTCATCCTATGGGGAAGTCACCGACCAGGGGAGCGAATGGGGGTATTCTCTCTTCCCAGGACCCAGGAATCTGGGAGCAAAGCAGGACTATGCTGCCTTTCCTGTCTAACGCCTCCTGCTCTTCTTCTGGCCGGCAGTACGCATGTGACTATTTAGCCATTTCTTCTGCAGTGTCAGAGACCTCCCTTGAGCAGGGTAAATAAACGATGTCGGTGGCGTAAGTCGCTAAGACGGCTGATGCTTTGTGATGATTGAGAAAGGGGGAAACGGCTCTTAGAGAACAATCTATAAACAAGACAGAATCCCAAAACCTATCGGAAAAGGAAATAATTAAGGGCAGCGGAAGATCTGAAGAGCGAGAGGTTCACTGTGGTGCTACTCCAACATAAACCTGGTTCTAAGCCAACTCTGTAAGCAGCGAACTTCCGCCTTAGTGACTATATCCCTGCAAGATTATTATATTTAGGCAGTAAACAGTTCCTCTGCAGCTGGAAGCAGGGTCAGAACTCTCTGCGTGTGTGTATGTGTGGTGTGGAAAGGGTCTGTGTTACATCCTCATGTGTCAGCTGTGACCCCAAGATCAAGAGAAAGCTTTAATCTTCAGAGCTACAGAGCTAGAAAGGACCAGAGAGAGAGAGAGGGAGAAAACAAAGGAAACGGAGAGAGACAAATAAATATCGACTGGATGAAATAAACAGTGTCAAGCACATTACTCACCTAGCTTTCCAAACAGCTCCACTCCCAGGGCAGCATAGATAAAAAACAGGAGCATAAAAAGTAGGCCAAGGTTCCCTACCTACATAAGAAGAAAGCAGAACAAGGGTCAGGCAAGTTGAGGTCACAACCATAATTGCTCCATTACATTTTAAATACAAGCAAAAAAAAAAAGGGAAACAAAATGGCCAGTGGTTAATCGTTGGGCCGCTCTCTAGAGAAGCCTTCCGGGGACCCTCTCTCTTTCAGGTGGTTTTGTCCACTCCAGCCACCCCCACCCACAGGTGTTTTGTGTCTTAGCTACTGTCGGTGTCTGCGTAGGACCCTCCTACCCCCACCTGCTCAGTGTGCGGCTTTAGGGCCCAATTCCACCAAGCACAGAATGGGACTTAAGCATGTGCTTTTGGTTCAGTATGTGCTGAAGTGCTGGGCTGAATCGGGGCCTTGGTTTGGATTTTTAGCCCTTTAGTGGTTTGATAAAGTTTCTTTTATGGTGATTAAGGGCAAGAGTTACAAAAATAAGACACTGAAGTGAGGCGCCTCAATTCCTACGCAGGCACCTGCCTTATTTCAAAAGCTCCCTCTGACCCCAGGGGAGGGTCAACAGTGACCTTTAATGTTTCCTGGCTGTGTCCTGTTATTGCAATCAATGGTTAAATTGCCAGCCAATGGGTAAAACCCTCTGAGTTAAATCTCATTTGCAGCGTTTCTTCTAATGGAAAATAAAAAACCAGGGTCCCCAGCCTAAGCAAGCAGTCTGTGAATGCAGCTCTGGGTTTCATTGCCAACTGAGAATGGGCAGGGTCCCTATCTCTTCCTCAAGAAGAAACACAGACCCTGAACCGGTGTCCAAACTTATCCCTGTCCTGTTCACGGGTTTAACTGGTAACTCAGACTCAAAAGGATTCCTACCTGAGCTTGGCTGTTCCTGGGGCTTCCCCACAAGATCTTCCATTGCAAGTTCCCTCTGGGCTTGCTGGAGCTCACTGAACCCATCTGTCAGTGTGACTTAGTAGGAACTACCCTGAATCTTAATGCACACGAAGCCTTAAAAATTGCTCTGTATTTCCTAGATCGGTTTCATATATAGGATTTTTTATATTTTATATATCGGTTATAAGGTGGCAGATTCTCAATCATTTTTCACGGCTCTGCTGCTGTTATTAATTATGGTGCTTAAAAGTGTGCTAGGTACCACAAAACAGGCAAAAGAGGCAGCCCCTGGCTTACCCAGCTCACAGTCTAAGTAGAGACATGATGTGATGACGGAAAACAAAGCAGAGGTAGGGAAGGGGAATAAGGAAGAGGGTTACAAATCCAAGATAGCCTACTGGTGGTTCCCGTATCCTACTCCTCCATATACAGATCGGCCTGTAGCTTCAGTGATGTGTCAATTGAAAGATGAATAACAGTGTTCCTCACAAACACCAGAACTGCAGCTCGGAAAATCTCCCAGTGTAATGCCAGCGCAATTAGCCAAGTCATGTTTTGTGGTCACCAGTTTATGAGCTTTGAAGATGACATGTGTGGATATTATCTCTAACAGCGAGCCCTGGCTTCACTACCCCGACGACACCCGGCTCGCAAAAGAGGAGAGCCAAGAAACGGCTCGACTCCAGCCGAGACTTTGCCAGTAAAAACTGCCTGATGTGGCCGCGCAGCCTTCCCGACGTGCAGAGATGTGTCTGGCTGATGGCTGCACATGGTGAGCAATGAACTTAGCAGCTTTCCCCCTTACTCCTGAGCTTGTTTGTCTGTTACGTCATGGCGCTGTGTTAAACAGGAGCGTGCCTCAAGCTATTGGAAAGAGGGGGCTTCGGTGATCCATTGCCCCTGCAGATGCTGAAGTCTGAAGAAGAAATCAGAGGCCCATTCCAGCTGAGGAGGTGGGGGAGGGAGGGAGTGGGGAAGTTGGCCAAAGAAAGCTGCAGAACAGCATAGGAGCGGGACTGTGTACATGGCCTTGGGTGAGTCATTTCACCTCTGTAACTAAACATACCCGTCTACAGTCCCTTTGTCGGGAGGTAATTGAGGTCAGCCCAGCACTCGGGAGAGCCAGAGAGGACAGGCACTAGAGAAGGGCTAAATATGAATCGTTGTTGTTGTTGTTGTTGTTGTGATGAACAAGGCAGGTGAGATCGCGTCCAGAAACTCTTCTACAGCAGGCAGGGCCTGGGATGCCTTCACTGGGCTCTCCAGGAGCAACAGACACTCCTGAGCCAGCTAATCTTCTAACAACAGCCAGCAATCATTGGCCTGGCAGCCAGTGACCTGAGGCAGGGTTACTGAAGGCGGTTCTGCCCTGGCAGTTCAGCACAGGCTCTGTTTATCCGCCGGCCTCCCCCTGACCTGTGCTGGGCCTGTCTGAACCCGGTGTAAAAAGCAACAAATAACCCACCCGTCTGCCCCTGCTGGCAGCCAGTGCGTCATCAGTCATTCGCTGCGGCTCCAATGTCAATGGGCAGAGGCCACGCGCTGCCAGGGAGCAGTCAGGGTGGGGAGGAGCCCGGGGAAGGGAAGCCCCAGGAGGCTGTCTTGTGGAGCTGCTCCCTATGAAACGAACGGGGGATGCAGCCACAGAGCCCGCAGATCGGGGCAGGAGAGGGCCATCTGTTCTCCCCCCCGGATTCTCTCTCCCCAGCAGCCCGGTCCCACCTCCCTAGCTGGGGAACATCTCGGAGAGGGACTTTGCTGGGCACAGAGAGGCTCCCAGACAGGGTAATTCAGCCTAAACTTGCCTAGCCTTTTCAGTGGATTCCCCATGGCGCTACGGGGGACAGTCCGCAGAGCGCACACATCCCCCTGGCTGGTCCCTTCCCCGGCGTGGGGCTGGGGGGCAGGGAGCGGGATGCTGCTGTTCCACACAGTCAAGGGAGACCCAAGCACGGATGGCTCTGGCAGGTCACTTGACACCCTATTCGCCTCCCGTTTGTATCTCCAACCACTGGGAGCCTTGAACTAACATGCTAAGGGTGAGCAGCGAGGGGGAAGCCCAGCAGCTTTACTGACCACATCCAGGAGGACTCCATAGAACTGAGTACGTCACCCAAAGGCATGGGCTTAGCATGCACTGGGATGGATGGCTTGGGGCCTCGCTCTGCTTTGGCGGCTCAGGACATCACCGTCCTTAGTACTGCAGTGAGGGGCGTCTTTTGGTTCCAGCTATTCGATTTAATCAAATCTAGTTGCTGTGGTAGCTAAGCACCAGTGGGCTGGGGATCAGGGTTCTGTTCCCGGCGGTGCCACAGACCTTTTGATGACCTTAAACTGCTGCGTGCCTCAGTTTCCCCACCCACAGAACGAGGATACAGCTGCGCGCTACCTCACAGGAGTTTTCGGAGGCTGTTTTCGTTAAAGGCTCAGCTGTGCCCTGAAGGTGCAGCCCTGCACTGGGAGCCATGGGGAGGCCCAGTGCCTCCCAGGCAGCGCAGAGGCTATGCTGAGGTGGCAGCGTTGTCTCCTCTGAGCTGGGCCCACCCTGTTGGTGAAAAGATGTCGAGGCTGAGACTCATGCCCGTATTCTGCTCCCTCCGAGGCCACTGACTTGCTGTGTGAATCTGGAGCAAGTGGGTCTTATAACCTCTCTCTGGGCCTGATCCAAAGCCCAGTGACGTCAAAGGGTGGTCTCATGATGTCTTCAATGGGCTGTGGATTAGGCCCGTTGTGTGTCAATTCCCCCTCTGTCTCTAATGGGGTGACTGGTACGTACCTTCCTGGGCGAAGCACTTTGGGAGTCTCAGATGGAAAGTGCTCCAGAAGTGCGAATATGATCGTTATTAGAGCAGGATGCTAGCTCCCGGCCCACAGCTGTCAGGATGTAGAGTCAAAACCAAGCCCTACAGAGCGTTGTGACTGACCTCCTCCTCTCCACCCTCTGCCGGTTGGCTCCGTGAGAGGCGTTCAAGGGCCTCCTCTCTCCTGCTCCTGAAACCTGCGTCAGCACCTCCAGGACCTCTCGCTGCTCTGACTCAATTATTTCCACCCTGCCAGCCCACCCCTTGGCGTTTCGGCCGTCCTTGCAGACAACGCCCAGGGGCACCCCGGGATGCCTGTGGCGAGCAATGTCTCACAAAGCTAAGCCTCTGCCAATCCTTTCCCAGGACAATGGGTCCTGATCTTTTCCTGCCAGCTCCCGCCATGCAAAGCAATAACTCCGGAATTAGGGAAATGCCGGCTAATTTACGCACTAGACAGAGAATGAAATGGACACATTTGCCAGCCTGGAAAGGGGACATCATCTGTGTGAGATCCAGTCCTAGGCGAAGGTGCCAGATCGACAGCCTGGGAGGCTGCAGTGCTCTGCGTATCTACACGATTACTTCAGGGCAGTCAACTGCATTGCATTGCTCCACCAAAGCCCCCCGAAGCATTGCTCCGCCAACGTCTCTTGGCCCAGTTCTAGACTCGCTTACATTTTTGCTTCTCTTCCCTGTCCCCCCACCCCCGACTTTTCCTCCTTTCTTTTTCTCCTCACTTTTCTTTCCTTCCGGCTGGGAGCTAACCACTGATCTCGTCTAGTGCCAATAAGCCAACAGTTCTTTTCAGAATGGGTGGCCAAGAATGGCCTGAGGTGCAAAAGAGCCCCTTTGTTCCCCTATTATGGGACAGGGTTAAAAAAGAGGGACTGGTCATTTTTCACTGCAGCCTGTATCATTTGGAATAATTCAGTCAAGACTCCCTTTTTTGGCTAAACAAATTTAAGGGCCAAGCATGGACCTGACTTAGGAAAAACTCCATTGACTTCAATGGGGCTCCACATCAGCACTGAGTATTTAACCTCCCCCAGCTGTTGTCAGCTGCAGGTCCCACCCTCAAGTCATTTTTGTTCCCCTTCTCTGGGCCTTTACGAGCGCCGTATATTTCCAGGGTATGGTAACACTCGACTATTGTTTAGATCATATAATCCCCTTTAGACAACAGTAGTAATGCCTTTAAAAGCTGCACCCAAAATCACCATGGGAGCTGCTGCCCCTAGAAGAGTTAAACTCCCAGACAGCAGCAAACTGTAGGCTCTGTCCTTCAGCAGAAAGAAGCATGGAACAGGGAGTTCTTCACATTTTTCTTGGCACGGAATCTCTGTTGTACGGAGTTCCAAGCTTTGAAGAGAAGAAGGGGGTATGTTGTCCAATCCTGGGTTTAATTAATGTGCATTCCACAGATGAAGTAAAAAAAAGAACCCAGATCTTCTAGACAGATTGGACCAGATTTTGCTCTCAGCCACAGAAGTGAAAATCTAGAGTCGCTCCAACGGAATTAGAGTTGCGTGACTGAGCAGAATCTAACCCACCGTGGGGGATACAAAGGAAAATCAAACCGTTCAACTTGCAACAAATGATCTCTTTTAGCTGCGCTATTGTGCCTCATGTTTCTGCAAATGTCTCACTTCCACAGTAGATTCTTTAATGGTATTTAGTAAATTGTGGTTCTGGCCCGAAAAGTGAGTATGTAAAAATGGCATTCGTTGCGCCCTATGTATTTGTCAGCTGTTTCTGTTTGTGTTTTTGACAGCAAAGGCCCACATTGTGCTACCGATAGCACTGCTAGGGCTGAATTTCGTTTTGCCTCCTCCATCAGGAGCAACGCTGGCAACTGATTGCAAACGCTTTCTGACCGGCGATTTATATGAGAACAGTTATACAGACTGACCTGGGTAAGCTGGGCTCACTCAAACAACACGGGTTTTAACACAGCCAAAATGCAAGGTCGTACATCTAGGAACAAAGAATGTAGGTCACACTTATAAGATGGGTTATTGTAGCCTGGAAAGCAGTGATTCTGAAAAGGAATTGGGGTGAATGTGAGTTCCCAGTGTGATGCTGTAGCTAAGGGGGCAAAAGCAATCTTTGCATATATACTCAGGGGAATTTCAAAGCAGGGGTAGGGCAGTGGTATTACCTCTGTATACGATATTAGTTACATCATTACTGGGAGGGGGTGTACAGGGGTGATGTCCACACTCGAAAAAGGATGTGGAAAAACTGGGAAGGGTTCAGAAAAAAAGCTACAAGAACTCAAGGTCTGGAGAACCCGCCTCACACAGTGCGAGATAAGAAACTCAATCTATTTAGCTGATTCAAAAGCAGGTTAAGAGGTGGCTTGACCACAGTCAACAAGTACCTACATAAGGAAGAGATTTCTGACAGAAGACAGCTCGTTAATTTAGCAGAAAAAGGCATAATGAGATCCAATGGAAGCAGAAGTTAGACACATTCAGAGAAATAAGGTGCACATTTTTAACAATGAGGGTATTTAACTCTCTATGGGAAAAAGTTACCTAAGGATGTGGTGGATTCTCCATCACTTTCAATCTACAAATCAAGACTAAGATATCTTTCTACAAGAGATGTTATATCACCGACAGAAGTTATGGGCTTGATGCAGATACTGCATCATGAAGTTCTTTGCCCTGGCTTATGCAGGAGGTCAGACTAAATGATCATGATGGAAAACTTGAGCTATGGTTAGTAATGTCTCGTGAATGATGTCAGTTTAACTCACGTTAACCTGGAGTAACACTGTCGCTTTGGGATCTGCATTAGCATACCTGGGAGCAGAATTTGGCTCTATATATGTAAATGCTGCAAGTCCACAGTAGGGATTCTTCCCCTGCCAATGAGGCTATTTCACTGGGTTTTTTTAACTCTCCTCCACTGTATGATTTGCTCATTCTGCATTTTTAAAAATTCCTCTTCTCCTAGGACGCTCATAGCGCAGCGGGGCAAAGATCGATATTGTCTTTGTGGTGACCCTGGCCACGTCACTAGATATCTTTATTGATTGGTCAACTGAGCTGTGAAATTGGAAAACACAGATTCATCACTGAAAAAGAGATGATGCCTTAGGTAAAACCACCACAAAACAGACAGACAAGGACAGGCCCAAGCCACAGAGTTGGATCTAGATTTGAACCTCCAAAATGTTTGCTGGGGGTTTGACCCATTATGAATATTGGGGCTGTGATTGGGCGCGGGGGTGGGGGACCACCACCTTTTCAAGGTCTTTCCCCTGACCACTGCTTTTTTGCCTCACTTCTCCTAGACTACCACTTTAAGAGCAGTGCATGATGGGAACTCTTCCTGGCTTTAAGGCGGAGGGTTTTCATTAGATGCTCAGTCTGGAAGTTCTAGTGGAGGAGAAAGGTATTTTATGGTGGCAGCAGGATTTCTCTTCCCCGCTCACTTATTCTGACGTTCATTAATATTAATGAACTGGGATTGCGGATTTTGGCACAGGCTGAGTCCATGCATTTGGATCCTGATGACTCCCCATCTCAGTGGGCCAGCTACGAAACGTGGATTCAAAGGCCAGCATCCCCAAAGTTCAGGGGTGCTTTGTTCTGCAGGGGGAGATCAAGCTCAGCTCTCCCGATAAGTAATACAAACCAATAGGAAATGGACGAAAATCACCCTCGAAAAAGGAAACGAAATCGATTGTAATGCCAACATTTGGTAATTAATTATAATTAGTACTGCATGAGCGTGCTGGAAAGGGCTAATTCAACCAACTCCACGACAGACGTCTTCAAAAGCTGCAGCAGCACCCATACAAATGGAATTCCCCTCTCTAGTCATTTAACAAGCAGGCGCCAAAGAGTTACGCAGACTGATACATTAGGGTCAGAAATGTCTCCTTGCGCTTCGGATCCTGGGTGCAGCTGTAAGCAGTGCAACATTATTAGGGTTGAAGATGGGGAGAAAGATTTTCCAAGTCCCCTTCCTCCTTTCCCCAACTTTTACTTTAATGACAGGTGGCGGTTTTATCAGCAGGGTTCCCAGGGATTTCACATTAGCACAAAATTTGGTTTGCGGGTCACAAGCAAAAAGCCCGGCCTCAAGCGCCCCTTTTGTTTTTTTAAAGAAAGTTCTGTAATGACATGGGCTTTCAAAAGAAAAAGAATATACACAAATACATTGCTTTTTTGAAATGCCAACGCAGGGGTCAGGTTTGTAAAGTCCAGGCTTTCTTCTCAGCCAAAGCCCATTGTTGAAAGCAAAGTTTGAATACCAAAGAGCAATCGGCTTAGATTAAGAACATCTTTTGAGGCAGCGGTGAAGGATAAACAGAGCTTTCCAAGAAAAAGAAACTTCTGTTTTTCAGTTCAGGTTGGAGAGACTGTGGGTTTGTCTATATGGAGAAATGTACCGGATGCCGGTACCATTATACCTCTATTACTATCCCAGTACAATTAAACCTCTGTAGCTAGCCGGTACAACTCCCATGTAGACACACTTATTCTAAAAGCAGCAGGCACATAGGATGTTATACCAGAGTAGATACAGTAGATATACAGTATCATTACACTGGTATAGTTCCACTGGTAAATTTCCCTGTGTAGATAAGCCCTAACAAAGTTGTATGAGTTACCCAGGCCCAGTTCTCCACAGGCTTGTACCAGCACTTAATGCCTGTAATAAAGTGGGTGCAAGATGCTGTCATTCTGATCTGGGAGCATTTTAAACCCACTTTGCTCAGGTGTATATGAGAGCACAAGGCACAGGGCAGTGGAAAATCACACTTTCCTCTACAGCACTGGCAGGATTGTCAACCGCAGGCATTCAAAAATCAGGAGCCAGGTGACCCAAAAAAAAAAAAATCATGAGATTGGCTTAAAAATAATGAGATTTTTTTGGGGAAAAAAAAAACTAAAAAAACCCCCTAACACAAAATGTTGGATTCTTTTTATTTGCCTTCTGGATTTTGACCTTTTAGGGATCATACTTTCAAGCTTTCCCCAACAACCATGAGAGCTAGACACTTGCTCTTTTAAAAATGAAAGCGGAGATTCTCCCATAAAGGAGCTCAGGATTTTAAGGAAATCATCATATATTGACAGTCAATCTAGTGCACATTTAGAGTCCTTTAACTCCAATGCTTTCATCAGCAGGTTCCTCGGTCTACCCCAATCTCTCTCAGTCTTTTCAGGTTGTCTCCCTTTATTCCAAGTCAAAAACGTTTGTGACCCCTCCCATTTATGACAGAAGTAAGAGCAAACCATGCATCGAGAAGAATGAGGGGGGATTTGATAGCTGCTTTCAACTACCTGAAAGGGGGTTCCAAAGAGGATGGAGCTCGGCTGTTCTCAGTGGTGGCAGATGACAGAACAAGGAGTAATGGTCTCAAGTTGCAGTGAGGGAGGTTTAGGTTGGATATTAGGAAAAACTTTTTCACTAGGAGGGTGGTGAAGCACTGGAATGGGTTACCTAGGGAGGTGGTGGAATCTCCTTCCTTAGAGGTTTTTAAGGCCCGGCTTGACAAAGCCCTGGCTGGGATGATTTAGTTGGGGATTGGTCCTGCTTTGAGCAGGGGGTTGGACTAGATGACCTCCTGAGGTCCCTTTCAACCCTGATATTCTATGATTCTATGATCAGTGATAATGATGCTAAGCCTATGTAATTATTGGGGTGTGCATTTTGAGAGTTGGCAGAATATTTGACCTTCCAGGATATGGGGGTGTGGGGAGTAGGGGAGAGAGTGGTGGGTCTGGGTGACCTTTGCAGACATGAAAGGGGCAGAGGTACTACGATAACCACAACATCTGAGCTCACAAACATGGAAGATTTTGGTTGCCCTGCAGTTATTCTGGAAATTTTCTTTTCTTTTGTAATTGTAATGAAACGTTCAGCGCCCTGCGCCCGAACCAGGAGTTGTGATGCATCAGTTGAGAAGCACTGGTCCACCCTTGACTCCCCAATTCTGTATTTTATAAGAACTTTGCCTACAAAGATTGAGGGGTAGATTTTGCTCTTAGGTCTGCACGGTTGACCTCTAACGCCAACACTCTGCTTTTGTCGCCAAGCCCAGAACTCCTGGGGATTGCAGCACGCAAGGGGCTAGAACATCGGGGAGCAAGATCTACCCTGCAGTCTCCGAGGGCAGAATGTTTGCCTGCGGTTCTCAGCAGAACCATTTGTATCAATGTAGAATACGAAGACTATCCCCAGGACCAGCATCTCCTGCAAGGTGCAGCACAAAAACTGAATCCACAAGAGAAATCAAACTCTTCTGTACCTGTTTGGCGTGGATCAAGTCCCCGGACTTACCTGGGGTAGCGCCTGCACCACTGTGTCCAAGAGAGCTCGCATCCCCGTGGCCATCTTGAGCAGTTTCAACACTACAACGAGAAACAAAGCTGAAGCACCAGGGCTGGGAAACCTTTTTTATGTAAACACCACAAACCTATTCAAGGAAGAAGAGTGGAACAGACGCTGTGGGGTGAGTTCTCCTCTCTCTAGCCACTTCATTAATGTCAGTGGAGTGACTCCACATTTACACCCATTAAGGAGGAGGATCAGGCCCTACGTTTATAAATATGGCATGCAGGGACAGGGATCTAAGTATATTCCCTTCCATGGTACGTACAAGAGAATGGGGGAACTTCTGGGCCTACTCCCTCGTGTCCTTTCCTAAGCGAATGGGAGCAGACAGTAACCTTCAAAGTCAATTCTCCTCCTTGCCCCATTGCAGCTGAAGTCTAGGAAAGGTGCCTCACTTTTGGTATGATCCCCCTCGTCTAAGGAGGAGACTAGGATGGGGGAAATCTACCAGTTCTTCCTCTTGTGTGCTCCCACTGCAGATCTTTTCCCACAAGAGGTCTAGGACCCTGGGTTTGAATTAGAGATGGGCCATGAAATCTGGGCATGTTGGGTTTTGTAGCCCAGTGGACCAGCTTACCTCTATTATATTCACTGCTTTGCATTATAGTCTGCTTTATTATATTCAGCAGCAATGCAAGGAACCTACAGGCTTGTATCCTGTAAGTCATTGGCTTCAGCAGTTAGCATGAGGCTTGAGGCCTATGAACTTTGGCATAGACAAACTTAGGTAACTTGTGAGTTTGGGGGAATTGGAAGTAGAGCGTAGGGGGGAATTTTGTCCATAAAGACATCAGTCAACCACAGAACATGAACTAATACTGGCTTCTGGCAGGTTTTGGACGAAACATCGGACTGCAAGAGTGCCATGGCAATGAATTGACGTATATGATAATGGGGTGAAATCATAAATAGACTAACCTGTAGAAGAAGGACACCTTAACATTGGTAAGGGGAGGAAATACAAATAAGGAAGAGGGGAGAAACCCCTATTGAATATGCATTAGACATGGTAACATCAGCGTAACATATTATAAAAGTGGCACCCCAACCTGGGGCAGTAGGAGAGAGAGATGGAGCCCTTGGGAGGGGCCAGAATGATGGCCACTGGGGAAGATGAGGAGGGTGACGGGGATGAGGAAGATAATGGCTAACATTTCAGTTGTTCTGCAAAGGATGGTGTGAGTATGGATGTTCCGATGTACTTTCTGTATTATCTCCATCTACCTTACTGAGTTAGTGTGTGTGTAAATGTATTAATAAATTATTTGCTAAATGTATTAATAAATTATTTATTTGTAAATATAAAAAAGTTTCTATAGTGTGCATGTTGCACCTGTGCATATCGGGGGTCCCAACTATATAATAATTTTAATAATACTGGGCCAGATCTTGGGACAAGAACCTGTCATCCCTCAAAGTGATAACTGGGAATATTTATCCATGATCTATAGATCAGGCTACAGTTTTGAATCAAAACCCTGCAGCCCGGCTCCATCCCTAGGTCTGAATCAAACTCAAATGACCTAGAAATGAAACAATGGGCCGAATTCATCCCTGATGCAACCCTACTGGCTTCTATGGAATCACCCCGGAGATCAGGCATTGTCGCTGAAGAGGCTCCAGGCTGGAAAGGCAAGTCTTACCTCTTGCTATGCGTAGCACCCGCATGATGCGTATGATCGTGGGATTGATAGGCAGCGCGGCATTCATTTCAATTTCCTCCAGCGTGATGCCCATGATTGAGAGGAGAACTATGGCCAGGTCCAGCTGGTTCCACCTAGCAGGGTGCAGGTGGGAAAGACAAAAACACACACTTCAAAGGAGCGTCATGGACAGAGTTGTTAGGATGATGCCCAGTAACAGTGGCATTGTATTCTCCTATAGAAAGGACTGTGGGCAAGGCCAGAACCCCATCCCCTCTCAGATCCAGGATTGATGGAACAGAACCTCAGCTGGTGTTAATTGGCAAAACACCATTTATTTCAACTGATTTACTCCAGCTCAGGCCCAAAGTTTAGAGAGGAAAGTTGGAACCATACTATGCTACACTGTTCCTGGTATCCCTACCTTCCCCGGAAATAGAGCAACATGCAACTTAAAAACTCATACTTGTTTTAGCTAAAAGAGATCAAGCTACTTTCTTAAGGAGTTTTCCTGATAAGTAGGCTTGCTCATGGCAGCCTAGCACCATGTATCAGCCGTCTGGATAAACGAGGGACACAAACTGTTCCCAGGACTAAATGGAACAGCATCTGACCTATCTGTGTGAAGCGGAGCATGAAATAAGGCTCTTTGACATATCTGGCTCTTCAGCAGGTCTCCAAATTGCAGCCCACTGTCACATACGTTTGTATCCGGTCGAATGAGCAGCAAAATGTGAAGTTATGCTTCTGGGTAGCTGCGGTCAGAGAACAACAGTGCTGAGGGCGTCTTCCTTTGCCCATTGCTGGTGGGTTTACTTAGCTAGCATCCTGCAGGCTGCCCACGGACTAGTCTAGATTGGATAGGACATCAGTTCTGCAGGAAATGGTGCCGTTGGGTTATTAAGAATAGTCTTTTCCATGCATGTATTAAGGGTACTGGCTTGACAGTCACCTCAAGGCCAAGCATAACTAAGCAGTGATACATTCTTTGGTGGAGTCAGTGAAAGGGTCTAAGAACAAACTTATTTCCTATTCCCTTTACAAAGCGTGACCAGTAGTGTCAATCATCATTTTTGATAACGTCTTGACTCCTGCGAGACATCTCTGGTAGCTAGTCAGCATAGAGATTCTTGTATCCAACTATGTTATTTTTACAACAATGCTTCAATTGCCTGACTTCTGGTTTAGACCCTGGGCCAAACACAAAGGAGTTGAAAATAATCTCACCTGTCTTTAAAGAATCTTCGAAAACCAAATGCCACCAACTTCAGAACAGCTTCAAACACAAAAACGATGGTGAACACGTAGTTGCAGTACTTCAGAGCTTCATCCAGGGACTGAAAGGAAAGGCATTCGTTAGTTCTATACAGGCTGCATTACCTTTGTCCCACCACAAAGCACTTGGCAGGTAGGAGGATGGTAGAGGTAGAGATAAAAGAAAGGGCCAAGCACAAATGGAGGGATAAAGCAGCTGATGCTTGGAAACTTAGAATCAGGTGCTCTGCATATGAATGAATAAGACTTTAAAGGCCTGATTTGCAACTCATATCAGTATAACTCCAATAACTTCATAAGAGTTACTATTGATTTGCCCCAGTGTGAGATCAGAATTAGGCCCTAAAAGAACCACTCTGACATGGAAATTGAGAAGACAAGCTTCTATGCTGCTTAAAAATAATTAAATTTTAACTAAAGATGGACCCTAATCAAAACCAGGCCTCCAGACCCCCCAGTCTTTGGGAGTTTTCAAGATCCAGATCTGCATTGTTTGGGTTGATCTGCCCTCTATTTTTAACCCAAAGTAGAATGAGCCTGTGGAATCATTGCTATGAACTATTATTGCATCAAATACCATAGCAAAACTTGAAAAACAACTAGACGTTGAGCTGAATAAGATCATCATCAGCAGTGATACTAGCTAGTCCAAAAATTACAATGGCTCTCTATCAATCCTCAGACTTCAGGGCATAAACTGCTGAACACATGAGGAACAAGAGGAAATTCAACCCCTTTCCCACTTACTATAATTTTGTTATAAGGTGCATTATGAATATCTTACACCGTCTTCTGAGATATCTAGAGTTGGCTATGATAAGAGACAGAATACTGGACTAGATGGATCACTGCTTTATTCCGGTGTGGCTATTCCTAGGAATTCAGCTTAGTTTAATACAGTCAGCAAAATAAATAATAATGGAGACAGATGAAATCTTGCCTTCTCGAAATGTTACATCTCCAGTGATGGGCAAAGTATCTCCATATTTGGTGTAATGTTCGCTCCCTCTATAAAGCCGCTCTCGGAAGTCAGGAATCCAGAGTGTTTATACTCTAAGATGATGACTGTTTATAATGGATTTCATTGGAGTTGGAGGCCAACAATAGCAAAAAAACACACTGCTCAAATCTTAAAATAGAGTAAAAGAGCTTTTTTTTTTTTTTTTCTGACTGGGGTTGTTTTCTGGTCAAATGTGGCCACAGGTTTCTTACAAATCAGAAAAATGAACAACAAAACCAGACACAATAGGTAACAAAAAGGCAACGGAAATATTAGAGAAAAGAAAAGCTCATTTGCTTTGGTGACAGGGGAACACAGAACTTCAGAGATGGCTTAATTTCAGGGCAAAATTCTCCTAGTGACATCTGTGCGACTGCTCTCCCCCGATGCGTGGGATAGGCTTCTGCTGATTTTTGGAAATGTGATCTGAAAGTTGTACAGATGTAATAGGGCTGGCATTTCTGAACGCCTGCCTTGCTCTATTTTGATTCTAATTATATTGCCTAAAATAAAATAGACACCTTTGTTTTTTATAATGTGGCCATTTATTATTTAACTTAAGGTCTCTCTCGCTCTGGGTCCAGTTCTTGTATCATGTACACTGGTGTACACCCAGAAGAACTCCACTGATTTACACTCATGTAACACATGTGTAAGTGAGATCGGATTCAGGAGAAATAAAACAGAGGCTGCTGTGTAAAGGAATTACAGGAGCAGAAAAGTACAGGTGGCATAAAACACACACACACACACTACCCTCTGGCTTGGTGTATCTTGGCGTAGCTTCCCAGAGAATCATTTTCAGGTGACATGTCAAACCTTACATTATTAAAAAGCAAACACAGACTCAGGAGAGCTGTGAGGGATAATACTATGTAATGCTCCTGTAATACAGATGGACAAGCCAAAAGATTTATGTGTGACAAAGTCAGTCCTGACAAGTCCTAAGAGAATGGTGAAGGGCAAATACATCAGCCCTAGACTGGTGAAGGCCCTGTTCCCTAGGACACTGGTCCCCAGACTGTGTGACATGCCCCCCTAGGAGGCCACGGAGGAACATTCGGGGAGGTGCGGCGGGACCCAGACCAGCTCCCACAGGGGGATGGAGGGGAGAGAGAGCAATACCTAGCCCCGCTCTGCCTCCAGCTCCACTCCGGCCCCACCCCCGGCCCCAGCTGCAGGTCTGGCCCCGCTCCCGGCCGCAGCCCCCAGCTCCTGGCCCTGACCATGGGCCTACTCCCGGCCATGGCCCCTAGCTCCCAGCTAGGGTTGCCAATTTTGGTTGGATGTATTCCTGGAGGTTTCATCACAGGACATAATCTTTAATTACAGATGAATCTTAAACTCCTGGAGACTCCAGGACAATTCTGGAGGATTGGCAACCCTACTCCCAACCCCAACCACGGGCCTGCTCCTTGCCGCAGTCCCTGGCTCCGACTGTGGCCCCACTCCCAGCCAAGGCCACAGCTGCAGGGTCGGCCCCGGTCCTGGCTCCCGACTGTGTCTCCTGGGGTGGGGGCGTTGGGGAAACGACCAATGAGGTAAGGGGGGGGGATAGACAAAAGTGTTTGGGGACCACTGTCCTAGGAGCTGAAAAAGGGTTAACTCAGGTTAACTAGAGACACGGGAGGCCAGTTAAGGGCTGCCAGTGACTTTTAAAAAACCCTCTTCTGGTGAGAGAGGGGAGGGGAGAGATGAGAGACGGCTGTCTCCCCTCCCTATAGGGAAAGAAACTAAGGCCACGTTTACGCTACCCGCCAGATCAGCGGGTAGTAATCGATCTATCGGGGATCGATTTATCGTGTCTCATCTTTCGCTTTGCTTAAGAGAACTTCTTGGGCCTACTCTGAGGCCCACCAGGTAAATAAAGGAAAAAACAACCCGAGTGAAGAGAAAAACCTCTGGAGTCAGGTGGGTTTATTCCAGTCCTCCTACCGCACGAGGGAGAAAGCCAATGAGACACAGGAGGTGCCCGGCCACATATGCCTAAGGCTTCATCAAGAGAAAGGGATTTTATGGTGTCTGAGGCAAAAGCACTACATGTAAACAGAGCTGATTTACTCCAAATTCGCTCTCCTTATAGTGTGTATGGTAACACCCATTGTTTCATGTTCTCTGTGTATATATATATCTTCCTACTGTATTTTCCACTACATGCATCCGAAGAAGTGGGCTGTAGCCCACGAAAGCTTATGCGCAAATAAATTTGTTAGTCTCTAAGGTGCCACAAGTCCTCCTGTTCTTTTTCCAAATTCAGTGAGGAAAGAAAGCCACCCTGAGCTCGTTCATTGCATATTAACATCAGTTAATGGAATATTCTAGAACATTGGCATATTTTACTCCACCTGGTAATGAAAAACTACATGGCAAATGTCAATAGGACACTGCTAAAATCAGGAGACTAATTATTTGGGCAATTTTTCTTTCATCGCTCTTGAGGCAAAAGTCCATTTAATACTCTGTGGGCCTGATTCTGATCTCACCCCTACGCAAGTGTAACTCCACTGACTTCAAAGGCATTACTCCTGATTTACACCCGTTTACACGAGAGGAGAATCAAGCCCTTTGCTTCAAGAGGTGACTCTTTTCTGGCAGTATGGTACAGCTGGCCCTAATCAAAGCTGGAAATGGGGCTACAGCTGATGAATGCATTGTACCAAATACTTCATGTCCTCAGAAGCATCTCAAAGAACAGGGAACGCTCTCGTGTCAGTTTTCGCTTAGGGCCATATTCAGATACTATTGACATCAATGGTCATACTCCCATGATATTCAGGGAACAGGATACGGTCCTTAATTGCTCTGACACGCCGTCTGATTGCACTCCAAGGAGGGCACGTGGCTCTTACCTTGGGCTGGTTATAGTGCTCCATTGACATGGTGATGACATTGACCCCAATGATGAAAGTAATGAACAAGTCCAGATAGTGGCTGGTACAGAGGGTGTGGATATACCTCCGCGTCGGGGAATAGTCAGCATAGTAGGGTCTGCGCTGGGCTTCTGCAGAAAGAGACAAACAAACGCAAGGTAATGACCATGTTTCCCTCCTACCAGGGTGAGGCACGTTGGCAGGTATCACCCAACATCCTTTCCTGACTGTTGTCTCTTACACACAATTGGGCACTGAGTGGGCTGCTCCTAAGAACCGACTGGGATCAGAGGCTTCCAAAGAGTTTTGAGCAGACACAACACACCGAGCTTTATATAGAATGAATAAAGGCCTCCCAACTAGCGACAACGGCCCTTCGGAGACTCAGTTCAGCTAAGCACGCAAAAGGATCAGATACCTTATCAGAACAATCCAGGCTTCTTGGGCCCACAGAACTGTACTGGATAACTTGGAAGGCCAGGTTCTCTCTTGCAAGATTTCATTGTACTTACCACTTCTAGTCAGACCAGAGACCAGCCTCCTCACTCATATAAGCTCAGGCACTTCCCCCTCTGGTTGGAAGCAGGGAGTGCAAGAGGCAGGACTGGAAACAGAAATTAAGGAAGAAAAAGTCTTCACACCCACAACAGGTTCAATTCCAGTTTGGGGCAAAGAGCCAGGGCAGTTTTTGTTTTATCTGGACCAGGCTGAGCATCTCTACTTCTCACTCAGCTAGAGTCAGACAACTTGCAGGTCAATGAGAATGGGAACCTGGACTCATCTTCGATGAGAAAGGGAATTTACCAGCTAGGCATGGTCTATGAGGGAATGCAAGGATGGATGAGGCAGCTGAGGAACACATATTGGTGGATGGTTATTAGCATAGGGGACCAGGTTAAGGGCAACTATCGCCAGGAGGTAGGGTGGAATGTTCTGTACAATGTCCCTACAATGACTTTGTTGTAAGTAACTCAGATTTGCAAACGGAAAGCAGCCATGATTCAAAGACTGCGGCTTAGCATATCAAATAGTGCAGACGGTCGGCTCTGTAATAGTGTTAGTTCCTTCTCTCTTTTGTATCTAGACAGGGGCTTGGAGGTGTGACATCTTCTGCTGTATGCCTCCAGTGGGGTGAAATTCACCCGGTGCAGGACGACACTCTAGTCCCACTGCCCAGGAGTGAAGGTCACCCAAAGGAAACATGCTATAAGTGAAACGTGATTAAAACATTAATTCTAACGTTATGCAGCGCAAGGTTCTTTTGAAATTTAAGAACCAGGGCAGGGGAGTAACCAGGAAAATAGCTGGACTGTGGCCACGTGAACTTAATATCTGTGCCTTCGGTCAAGAACTTTTTTAACTGAGAAACTTATTGCACATAACAAGCCTGAGCACAGCCACTGTAACTAGTTTCTGGATACAACCCCGTGATTGTGTAGTAATCTTACTGTGTGTGTAGTAATCGATTTTGACTGTGGTCTTTCCGGTTGATTCTGTTTCAAAGTTAATAAGCATAAAAATACAAATAACTAAATCAGGGCCAAATCTAGGGACCTATTAGGCCATATATCCAAGCCAGAGCGGGATTGTTTCTGACAGTAGTTTTGTTAATGCCTTGCCCAATCTAGTTTTAAATGTCTCAAGAGTTGAAAGCAGGAGAGAGTTTATTTTAAAAGAAGGGAAATATGGAACAACTACGCTCAGAAGGCTCCAGGAACTCATCTTCCCATCCTTGCTAATATCTTCCATCTGGAGTGGCACTTGTAATATTATTTTTTGGTAATATGGATGATGCCAGAATCAGAACACAAAAACTGAAATAATTTGGTTCAAAGGAACTGGATCCACCCATATCCTTTAGCTACTATTTTTTCTTGGTGGTTAAATGTGGAATGGGGACATATTGAACTTTTTTTTTTTATCAAGGTCACCTAGACTTAATTTTAATGCCCGTGGAGGTGGAAAAACAACACAAAAGCAAACACAATTATTTTTCTGTGTGTTTTGTTTTTGATTACGGGTATAAATCCCATAAATTTTGTTGAACTGGAGCGATGGTCTTTGCTGTGAATAGCTGAGTTTGGCTAATCCTATAGTATATCTATAAAAAGCATTAATTGAAATTAAAAAAATATTTATTTAAGTTTGTGCATGGAAGCACATTGCATGTTCAGGCTTATCACATGTGGAAATTTGGAACTGCCTTCTTGGGGAATGTGCAAAATCAGCTTGCAGGAAGGGCTAAGGTTTACCCAAATTGGTCAAACTTTATACTAAAGGTACATTTATTGTTAATAAATGATTAATAGCTCTTACAAGCATGTGACGGACATGAATAGTATGTGCTATAGATGGTTATAAGTACATCAGTAAAAGGTACTACAGATGATCATCTATTGACCTTTTGGACTATAACAATCTATAACAACTGATTAGCAATTTATTAAAAGAGCTGATTATCATTTATGAACCCTTTATCAACTATTTATATAATGCACCTTAATATAAAGTGTGAGTCCAGAGTTAAATACTCTACCTGGAAATTGCTACAGCACAGGCTTGCTTCTTGTCCCACTATTGAAAAAGACCTTTCCCTATATACATGATAAGCTATAGGTATAGTATACGGGATCCTCTCCACGATGTACAGTATGTGTATAAATGTTGTACAGCATGAAGGTGCCATGTACAGTATGTACAATAGATCTGATATGCTCAGCAGATGTGTAGTGCTGTTCTGCATTGTGGGAAGATGACACGAAGGATTAGCTGGTTGCTTGGAAGTCTGGGAGACATTTAATGTGAGGTGGGCAGAGAGACAGAAAAAGCTCTTGAAAACTCCTAGTCTACTGGAGTTCCCTAGCTTCTTTAAGCCAATTAATGGATGGAAAAGAACTTTAACTTTGAGACACATACAAAGACAATCCAAGGGTAAAGTTTGACGACATTTGGAAACACATGCAGCAACATCATGCTGAGTGCAGTTACCCAGGCAATGGCCATTTGAGGAGATGCTACTCATGCACTGCTAAATGTGGCATGCAGGGGTGTGCAGAGGGGACAACAGGCCAGATTCTGCTCTCGGGTTTGCTGCCGTAAATCAGGAGTAACCCCACTGACACCGGTGTGAAACCAACAAGAGAGAAAAATCAGTCCCATGTTTTTTGCTGCATTTCTATTTCTTTTTGACCAATGATGAGGCTTGTATTTTGATGTAATGGTGCAGTAGGAACACACCAAGAGTTCCTGAAAAGTCACCAATCACGTGGGCTCAAAGCTTTGCCGAATCACTGTCTATTCCAATTTCCTTTAGATATAGTATTTTTAAGTCATCTGCACAAAGCGTGACAGCTTGTCATTTGCATGCTTGGTTTCGGTCCAATCAAAGACATGCATTTGTGTGTATTCCCAATACCCAAGGAGAATATGCCGTCATAGTCTCCAGGCTACCGTGCGTTTCATCTGAAGGTTCGCTGCCCACACTTACTGGACAGGCTGCTAAAGTTTGGAGACAGAGGAAACTACAGAAGAGCCTAGATGAGGAGAATGCTGGATTGCTGGGGTGGGAAAATGTCAAGCTCTTCATTAATTACGCCATCAGGCAGAATGCAAGCCTCCCTTGGTTTTTCCATAGAAATGGTTTCTCTGATGATATTGCAGCCAGCTGACTGTGACCAAATGTCAAAAGCAGTCTTATTACCTCTATCAATTATTGCTGAAGGTTTGACTGGGTGGAAACGCGGGAGGGAAGAGAGAGACCATGAAAGGTATACAAGAGGTGAACCGTTCTCATCTCTCTCCCCCAGCTTCCTGACATTGACTAATAATCGCATGAGTTAGAATCTCACCTTCCCTGGGGAATATTTAGACTGCTCTGCTTGAGATTTTGCTGACATGAGAATTAAATGAAGCACCATCTCCTATTTAAAAGGCATTCAGGTTGGCATTACAAGTGCTACCTAAAAAGCTGCTCCATGAGTCTCCTCTGCAAGAAACATTAGAAAGCCAAGTGGGTTTACGTGCATGCTTCCCATAGGCTGGTTTTATACCTGTATTAAGAAAGGTGCCTGGAAAAATAAGCAAAATGTTTTTAAGTTCCTAGGCAGACGTGAAACATACAAATACACAGTGCACAAGTTTTAGTTACAGCTCAAATAGGCTATAGACTACGGAGCTCACACACCACATGGATTAGAAAGAATGGACATGATCCTGAATGCTGCTTAGCATCCCCAACGCCTCATCACCCTCAGGGAGAATTGTCTGCGATCAGCACGTTGAAGTGCAGGTCTTATTAGGGAACAGCTTTGGCATCTGTTCAACAAACCAACCTCTTCCTTCTACATGCCACAAACGTCTAGATGTTAATTTGTCCATCCAGGATCCCTAAGGGAATGGACATCAATTAAAGGTCAGCTGCGATCGTGTACTCTCTGGAACTGAGAACCAGGCTGTCCACAGCAGTAGTTGATCTTTCCATGGTTCACTGAACTAGCCACAGTATTAAAAACCGAACTCCAACTTTTCATCATTAGACCGAGGGCCATCCCAGTGCTGTTGCCAACTGGTTTGGTTTTCAGTCCAGCTTGCTCTCTCCTTTCTGTATGTGATGTCTTAAGTACTTGTGTTTAGCCTTTGAAGGGGCGGAGCACCACTCAGTTTTAACCTGGCATCAGATTGTATTTGATGGACCAAATGCCTCCCAGCTTCAAGTGCCCTGGCTTTTCAGCCATTACAACAGGGTTGAAATTGGCCCAGTGTCCTGAACACAGAAGAGATCAAACTGATCCATTTGTTTTTAATCAAAGCTTTTAATCTGGGGAGGAGAGTTTCACTTTATGTCTTCGGAAAGCCTCATCAAAAGGTTAGGAGCCGCAGGATTATAAAATTACAGCGCTTTTATTTATACAGTGGCTATATCTGATGGAGGCCGTGATCGTGTCAGGAGGAATACGTTAGCTTATCTTGAAGTTTTACCTTCACATTAACAATTACATTGTGGCACAACATAGTTCTGCTTTTAAAAAAAGCCACCACATTTTATTTTTAAAGCCTATTTATTCAACCTCCCTCCCTCTTTTTCATTCCAGGGCAGTTAGCCGGCAAATATACAGCACGATTATATTTAACA